CGTACTCCGAATTGGGATGCAAATTTATGTAATTCAGTTCGAGCTTGGCTGTCCACGACGAGCCGACCGAGCTCGAGATGACGGCGCTTCCGATTGACGACGCATCCGAGTCGGCTGTTGATCGCAACCAGAAGGCCGTTCCCCTGAACCCAGAATCTGCCGGAGAGGGCGCCGTGCACAGCCCGATCGTCAACCAGCAAATGATCCAGTGGGGCGAACACCTCGCCCAGGTGTCCTCCGACGAGGACAAGCAGCTCCTCGCCAAGCTCATCAACCGGTAGGGTTGCCTATGCCGAAGCCTAAGCCGAGGTCTAAGACTAAGTCTGAGCCTAACCACAAGCATACCTCCCCCACTTTCAGCGACCCCAGCATCCTGGACCGCAATGGAATGTTCGACCTGCTGAAGGACTGGCTCCGCGAGCGCAACATCGTCACCGAGCTCCCGCCCGTGCTGCGTGACGTGCTCCAGATCAAGGACCCGTAGGCCTTAAGCTAGCCCGCAAAATCCAGCTTTGTTCAGGAAACGCCGTCACGGCTGGGTCGAACGTCTCATCGAAATCGCCGCCGCCCGCGTCTTGTAGCCGTTCCAGTCGTGTTTTTCACTACCCACTTCAGGGGGCCGAAGGGCAGCTCCACCGGATGGAAGCCGACGCTGTACCCGGCGGTGACGTGCGAATGCGACAACCCGTCGTGAGTAGGGTTTAGTGGGCTTAGCCTTGGCTATGGTTTAGCTGGGCTTAACTTTGGTTACGTTTCTTTCTACCGTTTCTTTCTATCTTTCTTCTTTTCTTCACTTAACCATACCTTAAGATAGGCTTACGCGTAGGCCTAACTTATTCTGGACTTTGTAGGGATTAGGCATGGACCGATCGTAGGCTTAAGCTTAGGTGTAGGCTTAGGTTTAGGTGTAGGCTTAGGCTTAGGCTTAGGCTTAGGTATAGGCTTAGGCTTAGGCTTCGGCTTAGGCTTAGGCTTAGGCTTAGGTATAGGCTTAGGCTTAGGCTTAGGCTTAGGCTTAGGCTTAGGCTTAGGCTTAGGCTTAGGCTTAGGTGTAGGCTTAGGCTTAGGCTTAGGCTTAGGCTTAGGCTTAGGCTTAGGCTGGGGTTTAGGTGTAGGCTTAGGTTTAGGTGTAGGCTTAGGTTTAGGTATAGGCTTAGGCTTAGGCTTAGGCTTACTCCTCTCGCTAATGGCAACTACACTCCACTTCTCAGCGGCTGCCCCTCGCAGAAGACTTTCGGGGCCCCCGGCCACCAATCCGTCCTCCAGCCGCCGCCGTGCCCCGAGAACATCTACCCTCCGAAACGCCGTATCATTGAGCCCGAGCAGACGCTGTCCCGCCTGCACTGGGCGCTCCTTCGCTGGTTCCGAATGAACCGCAAACCAGGCAGCCGTTCCAACTAGTTCGTCAGCCACTGTCAATTCTCAGATACCGAGGTTCGTCCCGTCTCCGCTGCCGTGGCCAACGTACTGCTCAAGCTCAACAAAGGCAACCGCCAGTGGATGAACCTCGGAGAGAACGGTAATTTCCAGGAATACTCTGTATGCCGTCACGTTCCAGACCGCCAGCACTTCTTCGAGAAGGTGGCCACCAACGTCGTCAGCATGGCCATCAAGTCCCTCGCCGAGGCGAAGAGGCGCAGTCTCGAGGAGGTCAGAAAGGTGCTGAAGGAGTCGATCGTCGCCCTCGAGATGTACATGCTCCAAGACGAGAACCCTGGTACCCACATTCTGGCTCTCCTCTGGAACCACAATCCCCTCTAGGCTACCTGGCCTTTGAGAAGAAGAGGCAGGTGGCCAAGGAGTTGGCCAAGATCGCGCGCGAGGGCAAGGTGCGGACGCTGGATGGTAAGAGAAGATTGGGCGATGATACCTAGACGTTCAACCCTTTTAGACGCGTTCTTCGTGGCCGACGGGCTCGTCTCCCGCATCACCGACGAGCTGCCGGAGGGCAACTAGACGATCGACATGGTGCGACGGGGCGACGACGCCTTCAACAAGCATCTGAGGAGTCGACGTGCCGACCTCCCCGTCCACGCCGCCATCTACCAAGGAACGCCCGGGACGCCTCCCCATATCCGTCGCTCTGCTATTCCCCTCCCCCCGCTATTCCCTTTTTTGTAAGCACCACGCGTGCCTGCTCGCCTAGTTTTGTATGTCCCCCTGGTCTCTCCACCCACGGGTTTTTTTGGTGTTTTCGGCCGTACACCCCGGCCCCTGTAGCGTCCCCCCTCGGAATAAAGGTGTTTGGTGGACTTGTTGAAGATGTTGCACGACATGGTTTCATAAGACATAACGGATGCTTCAGAAAATACGAATTCAACGGTTTTAAATATTCGGTAAAGGTCCATTAAAGGGTGCGGCTTAGCGGCAGCGGCTATATTTTGGTATACTTTACACACCTGTAGACGAATAGGGAGCCGATATACAAAAGTTGGGGGGCCGGTTGGGGGGATATTTGGAGTCTTACCAAAATGACTGGTATTTGTCTCAAAATCGCTTCGGGGTTGATGAGTCCCGTTACACGCAACGCGCATGAAAGCCTAGCCCGCGAATGGAGCACACTCGATTACGCCAAGAAACAACGCCGCGCCGCGCGTTGTGGCCTAGGATGTGGATGTTTTCGACCATTCTAAAGGTGTTGGCAAGCGGAATTATTGCCACCATAGGATAAGGTTGGTCAAGAAATATTCTGGCAACTGCGGCACCACGTACCCACGTGGGCTGGCCAACCCGAAACCAGGCTCTGTTCCACTGCCAAATCTGGGGGGTGGGGGGATAGCAGCTGCGTGTCGCGGCAGCGTGCTGCGTATAGAAAAGTCGTACGGATGATCGATTACGCAATGAAAATGCAAACGTCTGCTTTGCGTCGCCAGTCTCTGAAAAATCTCCCCGGTTTCTAGTTTGCTTTTTGGTTCCTGCTCCACGTTTCCATGCTCCCGCCTGGACTCCACTTCCCATATTTGGCGATCAAATTTTGGGTTTTCCGGCCAGCCCGCAGAACGCGCGTGGGCCAATCGTCAAGTGCTCCAAAAATTTTGCGTGTGCACGGGTCTCTGGTTACCGAGGGGGTACCGCGATGAAATAGTGGCCAATTGAGGACGACCGCTAAAATTTAGTTCCCACTCGATAATTGGATGCGTGGGCCCGGCTGTTTAATATTATCGATTTTCGCACGTTTAAGCTGTGGGCAATTGGATTGGACAAAGAATGGGGTGTCAGGTGGGTGGCAAAAATCCAGGGAATTTTAAAGGTGCTTGGAAGGCAAAGTTTTGGTGGCGTAATTGGTTTTCCCATGCGATAACTATCAACCAAAAAAACACACCCAAAACCCCCAACCCCCGAGTAAGAAAACAACCCCTTAAAATAAATTTAATAATATAAAATATTTTTTATTGTATTCCCCCCTCTGTTTTTGGTTTCGGTTGGGGCTTGTATATATTTTTATTTAATTTTTTATAATTTTTTTTTTTTTTTTAAATTATATAAATATTTTTTTATATTTTTTTAAAAAAAAAAATTTTTTTTTTATTTTTAAAATTTTAAATTATTTATTCAATTTTTTTTATACTAAATAATTTTAAATAATAAAAAAAATTATAAAAAAAAAAAAATAAATATTTTCTATATTTTTTTTTTTTTTTTTTTTTTTTCATATATTATTTATATTTTATTTTTTTTTATATTTTTTTTTAAAAAAAAAATAGAAATTTTTTTTTCAAATTTTAAAAATTTTTTTTTTTTTTAAAAATTAAATAAAAAATTTTTTTTATAATTATTTTTCCTTTTTTTATTTTTTTTTTTTTTTTTATATATTTTTTTTTTTTTTATTTATTTTAATTTTTTTTTTTATTTTTATAAATTAATATTTTTATTTTTTTTATTATAAAAAATAATTTATATTATTTTTTTTTTTTTTTTTTTTTTATTTTATTTTTTTTTTTTTTTCTTATCCATTAATTTTTTTATACTTATAATTTTTTTTTTTTTATAAATTATAAAAAATTATTTATTTTTTTTTTTTAAATTTAAATTTTTTTTTTTTTTTTTTTTTTATTTTTTTTTAAAAAATATTTAAAAAAATTACCCACCAACTGATACATCGGTTAAATCTTTCAGAAATTTTAAGGGGCCTGAAAGGCAAGTAACTCAAATAGATTTGGGTTTTACGTCCAAAATGTCAGTTATGGGGTTTAATGCGATTTTAAAGGTGTCGGGAAGGCAAAGTTTTTAAAGGTAAATGCGCAACATTTTTTGCTTTGTTCATTTAAAAGAATTGGAAGCGAAAATCAATTGCGTAATCAGTTTTAATGGTAAAAACTATGCTTTGTAATAGCCCGCAATTTAAAGGCACCTGCAACAAAAATCAAAATCTCAAAAATTTAGAAGAATACCTACAATACCTCAACACCTCCAACGCTCTCTATAATGAACTTTTTATCACTAGAAACTACAGCCCAACTCTTTCCCCTGTCTATTCGATGATGCCGGATAATTGGACGGGTACGGTAGCTTGGCCAACGTGGAAATTTCAAGGGCGTTTAGAGAGCAAACAGCCTAGATTTCCGATCGTTGTCGGGTTGGCCTATTCGAAAATTATCGAGTTGGTAAGGTTTAAAAACTAGTTCATTTTTTATGAGGATTTTAGGACGCTGGAAGACAAATTTTTGGCGTCGCGCTGGAGATTTATACGGTAAATCTTCAATTTATTAAATACTGGATTTCAAAATAATCAATTTTAGCAATGGTCGGATATTCGATTAGCTTGGAAGGCAAAAGATTACGGTGGTATCGGGATGATATGGGTGAATCCGAGAACGTTATGGTTACCGGAGAATAACATAGGAAACGCGTAGGTTAAAATTTTTAATTTTTATCGCTACTTCCAGCAAGCTGCTCTATGAGGTCTACAACAAAAACGTGGAAACCGCGCGAATTTGGGCGAACGGCTCGGTGACGTTGATAAGGAGTTATTATGCCGAAATTGCTTGTCAAATACAGGTATGAGGTGAAATATGGCTCTCTCTCTCTCTCTCTCTCTCTCTCTCTCTCTCGCTCTCTTGCTCCCTCTTTAAAGTCTCCGCCCAACATTTTCATGCCGTAATCGATTACAGTATTACTCTTTTTTAGGGTTTTCAGAAGCTTTTTGTTCAATTAGGTATTCAATTTTTTAGGTCGGCCGTTTCCCGTTCGACCGTCAAAAATGCCAAATACCAATTTTTACAACTTCCTACGATCGAAAACACATCCAAGGACTGCCGTTTTACAACACTGATTTTAGCCCGAACGCTTCGGTAAGCTTAGAAAAAACCGTAATTCATCTGATTTTTAGACGAAGTAAAACTATGTAATTTAGCAAAGGTGCATGCAGATCAAATGAAAGTACTATTTTTTTTAGAGCAACGGCGAGTGGCAGTGCGAAAATATCATCCCGGATATCGAAGTTTGGGGCGGGGCAAATATGAAGATGGATGTGGTAAACTTTAAAAATTTTCAATAATCATGATTATCGATTACTTAGATAATCTACAATTATATACTCCAACGGGTACCCCATTTCTATATTTACGTAATTGCTCTACCTTGCTTGATATTGACCACCCTATCGATAATTGGGATGTTCTGGCGGCCGAACCAGAAGGAGGAGCAGATCGCAAAGGTATCGGAAATGCAATGATGCTATTGAATGGCATTAAACGTAAAAAAAACAGGTATAAAATTGAATAAAACTTTTCTTTAAGCTTGGAATCGGGTTGACAAGCCTCGTCTCCATGACGGTGTTGCTGCAGATGGTGGCCGACGCGATTCCGAGAACTCAGGATTTTCCGCTTTTAGGTGAGGCTCGATTTTAAAAGACCTGAGAGATAAAGGTAGTAGAATCGACCCGCTCTGACGACCAGATCTCGACAGTTATACAACATGCCCAAAAAGGAGAGCGAGAGAGAGAGAGAGGGAGAGAGGGGAGAGGGAGAGGGAGAGGGAGAGAGCGAGAGAGAGAACGCATACACATCTTGGCGTGTCGTGGAGCTGCCTTGATCTAGTGGATTCAAGGAGTCGATTTTTTCCCATCAGACACCAAAGGAATTTAAGCATCACAAAATTTAGGGATCTACGTGGTTGTCTGTATCGCGATAATCGGCGTCGCGTGCGTACTTGTCCTTGCATATCCAGAAGAGCGAAGTCGCCTCAAAAACAAGGACACTGAGAATTTTTGCTTGAAGTAAGCGCGCATCTCGATTTAGTAAATTTTTTACTTTTTCACGCTTCAAACACCGAATTTTTCAGATTGATTCACATTTTCTCGTGTCACATCGTCGCCCACATCTTCTTCCAAATATTGAATTTTGCCAATTTTGCAATTTTGATGTCATTTTGGCGGGCGTAATCTGGCGATAAAATATTTTTTTTGAAGATTGCACCTTCCATCCAATGGATCTAGAAAAATAGACAGAGGTTACTCGTAATTGTCGAGATTTAGTCGATTCCAAGAGACGATTCCTAGCCCTTTAAAAAATTCTAGCCTTTTTAGACTGATCAAAACTACAGTAACCCAGAAAATTGCAATTTTTCTACTCTATTTACCCACGATCGGGTCCCAAACCCAAACTCCCCCCCCGCCAAATTCTCTGGCTCGAATTTCCACTTCAGCCCAATTTTTCCCCTCGATTTCTGACGCGTGCCTTTTATCGAAATTTATGCTATTTTTCTATGCGTCTATTTGGGCTACGGTAGTCGGGGCGCGGCAGAACTGGTCGGAATTTGGAGCGTCGCGTAATTTTGGGTAGCTTATGCCAAAAATTTACATTTTTAGCAGAGTACTCAACCTATCTGGATGCTTCAAATCAGCTGTATCGAGATGTTTTTGCGGGGCGTGGCTACAGACCGGAACTATCGCCCGTATATTCGATGATGCCGGTGAATTGGTCAGGTTCTTATGCGTTGTAAAGGTAGTGCGACAGTATTCTTAGAGTCTACGGTACCTCGGTTTCCGGTTTTCGTGGTATTGGCCTATACGCAGTTAATTGATCTCGATGCGGAGCGGCAACTTTTCAACTTGCTAGTGGAGATTTATGTGGTACGAATGAAAGAGAGAGAGAGCGAAAAAGAGAGAGAGCGAAAGAGAGAGAGAGAGAGAGAGACAGAGCAAAGGAAGAAGAAAGAGAGAGACGTGCGAGAGAAAGAGAGAGAACCTACTCATTTAGGGCTGGACCGACATTCGATTAGTTTGGAACCCGGCGGACTACGGTGGAATACAGTACATTTGGGTAAACCCGGAAGACGTCTGGATCCCAGAAAACATAGTCGGAAACGCGTGAGTTTTCGTTTCTCGCTGATTTGCCATTTTTTTTTATTTTTTTAGGAAAGTGCTTGACGAAATCTACAATGAAGATTACCTATCCCTAAAATTGTGGTTTAACGGCACGCTGGTCCTGGCGAGGAGTTATTACGCCGAGTTGAGCTGCCCGATTGACGTAAGCAGGAGTTTGGGCTTAGGCTTCAACTTTGCTTAAATAGCAAACCATTTCTAGGTCGGCCATTTCCCGTTCGATCGCCAAAAGTGTCAAGTCGTGACGATGGCCGTGTCGTACGATCGTAACCAAGTTTTTGCAGCCCCCATGGTCAACAACGATTTTGATGCCACCCATACGGTGGGTGTCAAAGGAATTTCCTAGTCGTCAGGGCCAAAATTGGCAAAAAGCAAAAAGGTTCTCCCCGGCCGGGAATTGAACCCGGGTCTCGCATGTGACAGACGCGGATACTCACCACTATACTACCGAGGACACGTGCGGCGAGAGCGGGGATGGGCTGATGACAGGCACCGGAGACGCCCCGTGGCAAGCAACAGGACAGCCTTCAAATCCCGAAAAACCTTAAAATTATCAAAATTTAGGATACAAAGTAGAGACTATACCTTATATAACGCAAAATATCGCACATGGCACCTAGCTATTATAGAGTAATGGCGAATGGTCCTGTAAAGACATCGAGAGTGGTATCGAAGTGTGGGGCGGATCGAATTTCAAGTTTGATGTGGTAAGGTATAGTATCACATGGTAATTAATAAATTTAGGTTACCTTCACCTTCACTTTCCAACGGGTCCCCCATTTCTATATCTACGTGATCGTGTTACCATGCTTGATATTAACTACCCTCTCAATTATTGGCATGTTTTGGCGGCCGAACGAACAGGAGGAGCAGTTGGCAAAGGTATCGAAAATCGTATTAAAATCGTATAACTTGGAAATGTGGCCATTAAGTTGTTTTAGCTTGGCATCGGGTTGACCAGTTTGGTGTCGATGACGGTGCTGATGGACATCGTTTCCGGAGCGATACCAAAGACGATCAAATTTCCTTTATTAGGTATCCCATTTTTGCTTTAAATTCAATAAAATAAAAAAGATAAAATTTCCGGAAAAAATGTTAAAACGATACTTTCAGGCCTCTACGTCGTGATCAGCATCGCAATCATTGCCGTAGCGTGCGTGATTGTTGTCGTATTTCCTCGAAACGGGCAGTGTCCTTTTAAAGATATGGACAAGACGCAGAGTATTAGATTACGGTAGTTTAATCCCATGGTAAGGTTAAGGAAAACGGTATATTCAGAATGTTCACGTTCTTCTCGTCGCACGTCGTCTGCCACGCCATTTTTCAAATCCTAAACGTTGCCAGTTTTGCGGTGTTTATGTCGTATTGGAAGTCGTGAATAAATTACTTAAATCGGCTGCTACCAGCTACAAAGTTTTAAGCAAAAATTCGAATAAAACTACCGTATACACGAGGCTTTTCTTCATTTTCCCAGTTGGTACTTGAAGAGGTAGGGCAAATTTTTGGGTTCAAATTTCATCGGGTTGTTTTCGGCGTTTCACCTATTTGCCTCTCGCCAAGAAATATCTACATTTTAATGCTATTTTTCTATATTTATGGCCTGTTTACCGTAGCACAAGCACAGTCTAACTGGACGCAATATGGCGCGAGCGGTATGAAACTTTATTATTTTTGAGCACGATAATTTGTAGAAACATATGCAAATTATCTGGACGCCTCAAAGCAGTTGTATCGTGATATCTTTGTCGAACGTGGCTACCAGCGAGATTTATCCCCGGTTTATTCGTTGATGCCGAAAAATTGGACAGGTTTGAGAGAATCTGATAGTTTGTGGCGGATTAATCCAATATAAATATAACAAAAAAAACAATATTTTTGTCGTGGCTTATTCATTTAAAAAATCCACTATTCTGAAAACTACAAAATGATGCAAAAGTTTTCTTAGAGTCCTCCGTCCCTCGTTTCCCCGTCTTTGTCTCGCTCGCCTATACAAAGCTGATCGACCTGGACGTTGAGCACCAGATTTTCAGCGTCATTTTGGAGATGTATATGGTAATTTTAGGCAGTTACGTAGAGCTTACGATAAGAGTTTACTTTAGCCCCCCCCGCCCACAGCCGAAGGATCTCAAAGTTTTTGATATTTTTGCGGTTTTTTCGGGATTTACTTTGATAAACCGTAGCCGAACTTACATTAAACATGTCATTAATTTTAGGGGTGGACGGATATTCGGCTGAGATGGAACCCGAACGAGTACGGCGGGATACGCTACATTTGGGTAAACCCGGAAGAAGTTTGGATCCCACAGAATAGCATCGGAAATGCGTCGGTTTTCTTAATTGCTGTTGCATTTTTGGAGTCAACTTAAAAAATGGAAAACTGTAAACATAATAATCCCGTTATTTCAGCAAAGTTCTTGATGAAGTGTACAACAATGACCTCCTTACGGCCAAGCTGTGGTTCAACGGGACGCTGGGGCTTGTCAGAAGCTATTATGCTGAATTAATGTGCCCAATTAATGTTTGTGATCCACTGGGGGTGTGCGAAGCAATCGAATTTAGGTAGAAAATTTTCCGTTCGACCGCCAGATGTGTGAAGTAGCATCCATAGCCACCGGCTACGATCGAAACCACATTTGGGCGGCACCGATGGTCAATATGGACTTCCCACCGTCTTACTCGGTATGGAAATCGCAGACGATCAAGTGAAGTGCAAAAGCACGGTAGCCGCCATTTTAACGTTTTGACAAACAAGCAAAAAGTTCCTCCCCGGCCGGGAATTGAACCCGGGTCTCGCATGTGACAGACGCGGATACTCACCACTATACTACCGAGGACACGGGAGAGGACGAGCGGGAAGGGGTTTAGAACGGCCGTGAGCCCAGGGGCGCCTGGGAAGGTGTCGGAAGCCTCCAACGATGTTGCGTTTTCATAGCAGATGTTTCAATAGTTTGATCTTTTCCTAGGCGCAATTTGATTCTACTTAACTATGAAAATGCTATAATTATGCAATTTTATCCCTAAATTTAATTTAGAGCGACGGTGAATGGTCGTGTAAAGCGGTAACCGGCAGTATCGAGTTGTGGGGTGGAAACAACTATGGATTCGATGTTGTAAGTTAATGTTTTCGAGATACCTATGCATTAAGGTCACCTTTACCTTCACTTTTCAACGTGTCCCGCATTTTTATATTTACGTAATCGCGCTCCCATGCTTAATTTTGACCACCCTGTCGATGGTTGGGATGTTTTGGCGGCCGAACGAGAGGGAGGAGCAGTTGGCAAAGTTATAGAAAATTTCGTTAGATTGTAAAATCTAGAAATTAATGAAGAATTTTGTTTTAGTTGAGCATCGGTTTGACCAGCTTGGTGTCGATGACGGTCTTGCTGGACATGGTTTCCGGATCGATACCAAAGACGAAAAAATTTCCGCTACTTGGTAAGCTGCGAAGCTGAAGCCAAAGCCAAAGCTTAAGCCTACGTCGAAACCTAAGCCCAAGCCCAAGCCCAAGCCCAAGCGTAGGCGTATTAGTTTTATTATTTAGGAATCTACGTGGTGATCAGCATCGTTATAATCGCAGTGGCTTGCGTTGTAGTCGTCTCATTCCCAAGAAACCTCCAATCACCATTCCAGAAAATGAACCCGGCCCGTAGTCGGGGAATACCGTAGGATTTCTGCCGTATCAAAACAAATTTTTTTAAAAGCTTATTCATCTTCTTCTCTTCACACATCGTCTGCCACGCAATTTTTCAAATCTTAAACATCGCCAATTTCGCGGTTTTGATGTCGTTTTGGAGGTCTTAAATAAAGTAATATTTTTTAGCTTGTAGATCAAGACCTTAAAATGCATTAAAATTTTAGTTCAGAAGTAAAAAATGCTATTATTGCGCCAATAATTTAAACTTAAACTAATTCCCATCAATTCTCCAAGCCGTGGACCAATGAAACAACCGGCACAAACCACAAACCCGGCGATTGCACAATTTGACCACGAAAACGCGACATCCCTGTCGACGCGGGGGTCGGCGATAGTGCAAAGACAGTCTCAAGCTCTAAAGTGCCACAAAAGGCTTAAAATTCCGCTGATTTCTTTGTTCTATCCTATCTAAAACGATGGAATACCTCCCGTACTTGCCCTGGGAGCTAATGATTCGAATTGCCCGCGATTTGGACTACAAATCGGTCGGAAACTTGAAAATGGCATCGAAAAAGATATCGAGAACCCTGGCGAATAATGCGTATAACTTGGCAAAAATTGTGGATATGGTAACGATAGAGGTAAGGGCTAAACTTGTATAAGCTCCATTTTCTATAAAAACTATGTTTTTAAAGACCTTTTCAGAGTAACACCATCAATCAAGCCCAAATTTTCATGTTCGCCAACGGCCGTCATGAAAACTATTTCTTATCCGAAGTCAATGATGACTTTTTCGAAGAAACTGGTACCAGAAAAGTTTATATCGATAGCGTAAGTGAATATTTTGTAATACGGTAGCTAGAGTACGTTTCAGTACGCTTATTCCGAATTGAAAGAAGCACACGAGGGCTATAACAGCAACAAATTCGAGGAGGAAATCGAGTATCTGGCAAAAATTGGAAACGGGGATGTCTATGAGCTCGAGATGGAGCTGGAGGGTTGCCAGCGAGCAGCGATTATTGAGGATCATTTAATGTGAGTGTAATTGTAAGGTTTTATGCGAATTTTGCTTAGACAATACCTACACCCCGTGATCTGTACCCTACAACTTACTCGAAATTTCCGGGTCTCGATACCGAGCCCTTTTATCGCGTTCGTCCAGGATAATATATTTTTCATGTCGTCGCATGAGACTTCGGCCAGGAAATGTGATATGAAAGTTAAGGTAAGTAATTAAAGTATGGTTATTTCTATTAAAAGTATATAAATGGCTCAATAAGTGCTGTAGAATTAAAAATTTGCAAAACTTGTAGACAAGCCGTTCGAAAGAAATGGCCTTATAGGACGGAAATCGGTTTTTAGAGCATGCTGTAAGTAAAATAACGCGAAGATAAGTTTTTTAGACGAATCTGGCGACATTGATGGAATTCTACAAAGCATTACGGAAAGTAAAACTTTATGGTGATGGCTGGTTGACGCAGAGTTGTGATATTGGTCCTTCTGATAAACCGCAGTAAGTTATATACTTTGTAGAGTTTGAAATATCTTAAAATAGTCGTTAATAGTCCATTAATAAATACGATAATTTAGAATTATTTCTGCCCTGTCGAAGTCAATGACATTAATAAAAGACGACGCCGATCTGCAGCGAAAAATGGTCGATTCCGAGAAGAAACTCGTGCTCTACCTCCGATTTTCTAAGGATACCTTAACGTCTCGTCTTGTACATAAACCAAAACCTCTTTCGAATGAGAAAGAAGGTCCCAGTCGGGCGATAGCCAAAAAGGACCAATATGATGCGATATTTTTGTTATAAGATTTCTATGTACTAATAAATATATGAATTTTACGCCTTTTCAATAACTGTTAGAGCCGACTTCCCAAAAATGGATCGAGCGGGCTGATTTCGGATCGATACTCCAGTCAATTTGGATGAGCCTCAGGCTACACCCTCCCCGCCCCTCGCCCCTCTCCCTTTCACGCACTATTCTCTGGCGCAGCTGGACGAACACTACCTCACTTGTTCGCACAACCACAATAAACGAATCGACAGCAGGGTTTTTGCTTTGGTCTTCACTTTATTAATATTTTAATTACTTACTTATTGCCAATTTATTGCCGTTTATCATTACTTTTAGCAATCAGTTGAGAAAAAGCAATTAGTATTGGAGCTCTTTTACGACGATTACCAATGTAAGACGGCGAAACGCGATTTTTTTCGTGTTTTTGACTTTGTATTTCTTTTCCAATCTTCTTTGAATGGCTTTAGAGCTATAATTAAAAAAAGCTATCAATATTTCCAGGTTTAAAATGATCGAAAGCAGTTTCTCAAATCGTTTTTAAGTTTCTCCGTCAACTCTCTAGAACTAAACAGCCTCAACTGATGTTTCTGCTTTTAATTGTCGACGCTTCGAATCTGTTTTTCGTACCATAATTCGAAAATCCCTTATTTTTCAGGTTTAAAATGGCCGAAAGCAGCTCGACGCCTACTCCACAGCAGCAGCAACCCGCCACCGCCGACCCTGCCCTGGTCACGACGCTCCAGCAGGCCTCCACCACCACACCGCAACAAGTCGGAAATGCTGCCGCCTTTCCGCAGTACGTCATCCCCGGGCCAACGGTTGGTTTTTTCATGGATATATCGGGCTTTTATAGACGTTCAGCGCTAAAAACGAGCTTGCAAATGCTCTTTTTGAGCCTGAAACCAAAGTGCTAGTCATTTTTGGCCGAAAACCGTTGAAAATGATTAATTTTTCATTTCAGAAAGCCGACACAAAGTACCAGCAGCTCGTCTTCTTGATCAACGAAATCGGCAAGGTTGGTAGCGCTCAGTTTGGCTAAAAAAATCGACGATTTTCAGGACCTTCCCCAAATGTACAACGGCAGCAAGCACTGCAGCGAGAAGGTGAAGCGCTACTTGGTACATGCGAGGTTTGTTTTTTGTTATTTTGGCCTGAGATTCAGTTTTCTAACATGTACTTTATAGTAATGGTACGTACTTTTCTGTACGTTACTTTCCAGGATATTGGCCCGTGAATGCATGATGGAGGCCGACCGCGAGCGCGCCAAGATGACCACCGGATCTTCTTAATTCACTTTGTAAGGCTATATTTTTCCCTATACTTTGTAACACTATATTTTCCCCTTTGCTTTTTAATACTATTTTCCCTTTACGCTGTAACGCCTATTACAGCGCTTTTTCACGGGTATAAATGGTGGTTTTCCCCCTAAACATTCGCTTGACTTGATTTTCCACATTCCCCTCACTGTATTTTGGGTGGATAAATATTGGAAACTAATCTAATCGGGAATTGTGATAAAAAGAGGTTTAGAAGCATAGAAGAATTTATCTCTAACGGAGGCGATTGCTGTACAAGTATTATAGCTACTATTGAAACTGTTAGTTTGTAATTTATGGCGAGCTGGTCTCTTCTTTTTGTTGGGTGACCGATTCTTCGGTGTCGCCAGAAGCCGATCTAGACCCAGATGTATCGACCTCATCACCAGATCCGGACGTTTCCCCATCGCCGGATCCGGATTCTCCCTCGGTTCCGGAACCGGATCCAGAATTCTGAAATTGGTTAGCGGTTTTTGAGGTCTGATGTTCTCGTTTTCTGAGTTTTCACGTGCAGCCGTGTAGTCTTACCTCAGCATCTGAAACAACCACACTTTCATCGGTCGTTTCCCCGGCTCCGGAAGCGGAAACATCTCCAGATGAATCTCCAGAACCACTATTTTCAACATCACCAGCTTCTGTAGCGTCAGTAGCATCGGAAGTCGCAGAATTTGCGACGGTCGTGGTGGTCGTGCCTGAAAAATCAAGTTCTTGAACCGCTTTTCGATGCCTGAAACATTCCGTGTCATTCCGTACCTGACGCTACCGTCGTCAAATCTTTGCTCCAGATGTAGCACAGCGGATCGAAGGGGTATTTATAGGTGAATAGCGGCAAAATCGTGTCGTTCGTGATGATTCTCGAGTCTAAATTCTCTTTCTTTTAGAACATAACTAAAACTACCGATATTCACAAAATCGAACACTTTCCAGATGGGTGTATCGGCTCCGCATTGACCTTTTTGCCTTGAAAATGGGATTGTAGTTTGTAGTTTTGCATTGAATAAGTTACTTTGTGCAATAAATGGTCTCGCCGGTATCCGTGTACGATTCGAGGAAGCGGTCAGCTTCATTTGGCGCCGATAGTTTGTAGTCGATAATATCTGAAAAAGGACCGTTTTCTGGGATGTAAATGGTTTAGGCTATAAACTACAGACTACGCTACACTACGCTATTTTGGAAGCAATCAAAGCTTTTTGGGCTTGCTGCGCACTATTTTACAACTTTACAGGATCTAAATAATCTATTAAGCGTTCTTTTACGCTATGCTACCTAATTACTATACTAAATTAAAATATACTAAACTTGACATGCGCTGAATAATTCAAAAAGACGCTCCCAGTAATGACAACGCCAGGCAAATAATTTTAGAAAATTTTCAGCACATTTGTCGAAGCCAGGGATACCAGGGAGTCCGGTTTGCACCATCTTCTTCTGCACTAGTGGCGTCAGGCAACCGCCACAAGCCGCCTGATTTTTCGAGACGTAGCCGAGGTCTTGCTGGAAAGCAGGAGGCATCAATTTTCTATCAGAATTCGCGTTAAATCTTTGTTTGTGTCCTTTTCAATTTAAGCGTTTAAGAAAAATATATTTTAATATGCATTTACTGTAGCTAATTCCTCCACGATAAAACTTTAGTTCTTTGCTTCCAGTATCGCATGTTTTAAGCACTTTTTAACCATATAAATTTATTTACAAAATTCTAAATTACAAAAAAGGAGCAAAGTTCTAGCGATCTATCGGGAGGTAGGGGCGGTGAGATAGCACTAATTAAACAGAAGTTGATTTAATTAGATAGCGTAATTTTTAGTAGTATGCTATTACGGGCAGTAGGGTTAGTAAAAGTGACGCTACCACTTTCGTATAGCCGTTCCCGTCCGTCGTTGATCCCGGTTCTACCGTCGATGTGACGTGGTTCAGCGTGGGTCCTCGATTAACAAATATATACCTCGAAGACCTCAAAATGATACCAGTAGCCGTGTTGACGTATTCAGACAACGTCGTCAGGTCCAGATTGCCGTCGTCAACGCAGCTATCGTCATCGGGGGTCTGGTCCATGTCGGCTTGTCGCTTGACAATGGTAGCTAAAAAGGGCCTGGTTCCCAAGGCAAAAAGCAATAGTAGACTTTCTGAGCGCGATACCGCGATCGGGATATCTTTCTGCATCAAAAACTCAAAAAGCAAAAAGTTTCGACCACGGAAGGATTCGAACCTTCAATCTTCTGCTCCGTAGGCAGACGCGTTATCCATTGCGCCACGCGGCCATGTGGGGACGGCCGTTGCGGGGTCTTATGACAGTGGGGCGCCATGTGACTGACAGGACCCGAGGTACTTACTGCCCGCCAAGGAAGTTATCACCTTCGGAAGAGTGGTTTGGGCAAGGAACTGTTTCCACCTTTACCACTTTATTTAGTGTGGTTTTTAACTCCCAAATTATTACTTATTATGTCAAAAGAAGATTAGAAAACAATAAATCACTAGTTAAAGCTCCTCGAAAGAACTTTTACCGCTGCTGTTTTATGATTTTGTAGTTACAGGTTATAAATACGTATATTAAGGAACAAATTTAACTCATTAAATCATTACCTAACGAATCATTCCTGTTCCAGCCCCAGCACAACGGCGTCAGTTCAATTGCGTAGCCGTCGATGGCAGTGTTTTGGAAAGAGTAAGCGTGCTCTAAAAGTAGACTTTCGTCACAGATTTTCGCCTCGATCCCGTTGGTAAATCATAATCTAGTGCATAAAGTATATACATACCAACTCCATTCGTCGTCAGCTTGAACATACGGTAGATGGGCATATCCGCACCGCAGTTTCCCTCATTCTGGGCGCACGTGAGGGTGTAGTCGGTCTCATTGTAGCCGAGAGGGGGCAGATTTGTGCTGGGCTGGTAGAAGATGGAGCCTGAAAAGAGGCTTGACATCAAAAACGAAGCTTTCGAAGCTACCGAACAAAGCTTGTAGGTTGTATTTTAAGCAGTCGTTAAAACTTAACCGTTATTAGACACTTCTCAAGGCCAAAATAGTCCCTTACCGGAAGCGCTCGTCGACTTCCAGCCTCGCAGCTCGATGGTACAGCCGGAAGGGCAAGAGGAGTTCGTCTTCAGCGTCCCGATCGCAGTACCAACTCCGGCTTCTCCATCGGTGCTGTTCGTGTCGAAGTTATAGAAGACTGGGGAGGAGTCCTCGACGATTTTGGTCGTCACTGAATTCCAAAAAATACTGTACATTTAGATAATAAGTTCGTTGAAAGGAGCTTTGATACTGCGTAGTCCGGTACGTTCAGAGCATTTTAAAGGAGCTTGTAAGTGGGATAATCCCCCCTACCAGTGACTAAATCTCGAACGCAAACTCCAACGCATTACTCCCAATTTTTAGGTGTGGCACGAAGTGCTCCGAACTCGTAATCTCGCTCTTCCCGGTTCCTTTAGAAAACTTGAATACGAAATCCTTTCGCAGCCAGTTCCGGCAATTTTAAAAAGTCCAAAAATTTCCTCTTTTCGTTCTCGTAGCTTTATATTCATCTTTGAACCCACCGATATCCGATGACTTCGGCTTCGTCTCCGTATCACAAACCTGGCTTGAGGCCAGTCGCAACAACAGCAACACCAGAACAGCCGCATACATTTTTTAGAATTTTTTTCTAGTTTTTTCGAATCAGGCGACTCGGCACCGGGATTGGTAAATGGCAACGTTGCACTACCCCCCTCTGCCGTAAAGGGATCTATAACGTTTACGATCGGCTCAGTGGATGTGGGCGGGGGCGGGATGGACGGTAGTAATTTGTAGTGAAACGGTTTTCAGGTTTACCATAGTCGCATGCCTTTTATCTACTCAAACACCGCGGAAAACAGGGGGATTCGGCGGGTTATAAAAATTTGATTTGACGATTTCCGGCCTCAAAACACGGTGACACGGCAAGGATCGGGAAAAATCGGGAGATTGGGGTTGATCGGTGAAGTTTGATTGAGCCCTCGTGATGTCAGAAGCATATCTTGATGGAGACATGATGTTTTTCAGCATCTACGGGCGACGCTCGAGATAATCACCTCCGAAAGACCATTTTCCGAGATTTAAAGAGTAGAATTAAGCGAGTTTAAGCACAATTATGCCTCTCTAACAAGGGAAGGTCGTTTGGGTCAGGTGTCAAAACGATTTGAAACTTTGCCAGTGGATAGAAAATCAAAAATAAAGTGGGGTTTTTTAATCTCATTTTTTGCACAGCACGAAAAGACGAAACGACCGGACAATGCTTTCCGGGCCCTCATTGTGTCCTCCCTCTTTTCAAGCTCTTGTCGCCTGGACTGTCGAGCTGTTTGGCGCAGTAGGTAGTGCCGTAGAGTGTGAAAATTTTAAATTTTTGTAATCGAGTTCAAGTTTTTGTTGCGTCTAACTTTTTGCTTTTTGGATTTTACGCCAACTAACCCCAATTTGCAGGAGCAAAAAGCAAAAAGCAAAAAGATAGAAAAGTTTTAGTCTCGAACTTTTGCCAAAAATTTTTCAAATGATTTTTGAGTCAAGCGCACTGCCGATTGCGCTACAAGAGACGAGGGGGAGTGAAGACGAGAGTGTCAAGAAACCACCGATGGAGAAAAGGTGGCAACGGTGCGGTATTGTTGCAAAAGCCTGCGCAGAACTCATTTTTTAGACAACAAACTTAAAATGCTGATAACTTTTTAATTTGGGGTATTGTGCAGAAAACGACTTAGCGCACCTTGTTCCGTTTTCAATTCTTTATTAACTGGCAAATTTTCAGAAATATTTGACACCTGACCCAAACGACCTTCCCTTGTAAGCCATTCCCACCAAAGCAAAAAGTTTCGACCACGGAAGGATTCGAACCTTCAATCTTCTGCTCCGTAGGCAGACGCGTTATCCATTGCGCCACGCGGCCATGAGAGTGGGCCTGCTCGACCCGAGTCATATCCGCGAGGTCTCAAATTGGCAGGTGCTTGCCGGCGGCATTTGATCCGATTCATCGAACAGAGGATTACTAGGGGTAGCTGCCTACAATAAGCTCCTGTTTACACTCGATGGTTATTGTTTTCGGAGTTACTCAAGCGGAATTAATTTTTATTGCGTCTTTGACATTTGTTTAAAGTCGATATACGAGCTCTATGTTATTTTTCAACTATTTGTTCGATGCTCGCACTACGGGCACCGCAGTTTCCATAGGACAACAATAGGACAACGCGGGCGGTGCACTCCTTCGGAAATCTCCCATTTATCGCCAAAATAAAGGGGAGGATGAAGTGATTTTTTACAACACGCTTTCCCGGTTCCGGTATTTTTTGTGGGGTATGAAATTTTTTAACGGAATCAAGTACTATTAAAAGTAAGTAAATATATAATGGACCTATGTAAATTACCAGTGGAAAAAGACCGCTTCGCGGCCATTTTCCACTGGACCCCGTCCCGGAATCATGAATTTGAATACATTCGTTTTTTAGCCTGCGGCGCAAGAACCTGAGTAATGACGCCATTCTTTGGCCTGCGGCGCCAGAGCCAGCGTTCCGCTAGAACTTTTGAGCCTGCGGCGCGAGAAGCCTGGGTCCAGGACCCATTTTTGGCCTGCGGCGCGAGAGCCTGGGTCAAGGGCCTTTTCTTTGGCCTGCGGCGCTAGAGCGAGAGCCAGGCCTAAATCGCGCACACCGAGAGCCTAGAAATATGTTTTGTTGCTAAACTACCAAAAAGCAAAAAGTTGTATTTGCCCAGGATCCCAACCCACGATCCTTCGGGTGGTAGGCCAGACGCAATTTCACTACACCACGGGGGAGATGGGAACAGGCGGCGGGAAAGCCCTCTTCTGTTCCGGGGAAACTTGGGGCGGAGAGGCACAGAAAAGGCCGACCCCATGCCCCGGGGGGAGATGCCTTCTGGTCACTTTACAAAATTAAGTTTTCGAGTCTGAATCTGCAGAAAATTTGTTAAGATAATAAGATGCGCGTGATCCCCACTATCGAATACATAAGTGGTCGAAATTTCAGCCCGAAATTCCAAATGCGAATAGAGTTATGCCCCGAACACCACGGCTCGTCGCCAATTTTGTTAAGGATTTTTACTATTTTGCTTGTAAAATTGTTAAAAGGAGGAATTTCGAAAAACAAAAAAATGCGTGTCTGACAAATGTGTTTCTCCACCTCCATGCCAAAAATCAGCGCGATATTCGGCCTGACGGCCGAGAAATCGTCATTACAGAAAACAAACATACTTTTCTCGCTTATAGGATAGGATTACCATAAGCGAGATAAGATACTCGAGGCCAAAAATCGTGTTGAAAAATAATATGCTGCAAAAAATCTGTTCCTGTTCCCTGTTCCTCGCCGTCGCTACTCGAGAAAACATATGTCAACCAAATATCGGCTCCCCTGGTAGGTCAGTGCCCTTCCCAGTCCGGCACCGCATGGCCGCGTGGCGCAATGGATAACGCGTCTGCCTACGGAGCAGAAGATTGAAGGTTCGAATCCTTCCGTGGTCGAAACGTTTTGCTTTTTGGTCCGAAACTTTGTAGGGGATTGCCTGTTTTATGTTCTATTTTTCTTAAAAAAGGTCCCTGATTTTTGCCACTATCATTCAAAAAAAAGGAAGGTTCGAGCCCTGCCTTGCCCGAACGTTTTGCTTTTTGGTCCAAAGCTTGATATCTTTGCTTTATCATGATTTATCTATATTAAAAATATTGTTAAGATTAAAGGATCGAGGCTTTTCAGTGTAAGTGTTCATCACTCGAACATGAGCTTCTCCCCGCCAGCCACCCCAAAAGTCAATCACTCCCCAAAACCCGCCGGATTCGTTAAGTAAACTTATTGACGCTTCACGTGTGGCTCGAGTGCACTGTTGTTTATTTTCTCAAGCCCGAAAAATTCCACCCAGGCTGACCGCAACGACATCGATTTTTTGGCGGGGTGTCGCGCCGTCTGGGCCCTCGCTTCTTGGGCGGTGTCTCGGTTGTTTGTGAGGCAATGTGCGATGGGGGCACAAAGGTCCGTCCTCCCTGGCCCGCCCAGTTTGGCCGCACCCCACAAATGCGGCATACATTTTGAGCTCACGCAGCACGACGCCTAGGCAACGCCTGCGAATTTTGCATATAGCAGGGTTTAGTTGGATTGATTGGTCCAAATTTTTACCGCATCAAGCTTGTTTTCGAGGGATTAGGTCGGCTGTCCTAGGAAAAAAGATGTACCTTTGCGGAAAATGGCTGTGTGCCCTCTCGCAGGAGCGCGTACTCGCCATCGGGTTTTTTTGCAGAGCCTAACTTTAGGCAATTGTGGTAGAAGCCTATTTCTTTAATCCTTGTCCACTTTAACGTTTTATCTAGCGTTCCATCATCCGCTTAAAGGGATACCCAAGGTTTTGGCGGCAAATATATAGTTATGTATTCCGGGCAGTACAACTGACGCGCGAATTTCGTGCGGCAACGAGGGGCCCATTGCCGCACAAAATTCGGACCCTTTCCCAGTTGTGGCGTCCCCATCCCACCCAATGGCTTGCCACTATGGCCTAATGAATAGCATCCAGGTCTACAAAACGGGGGTCCCGGGTTCGACGCCCGCCCGCGGCATGGTTTTTGCTTTTTGAGCTCCAGAAAAGTTGGGCATCCCTTTAAGGGACTGGCCATGCAGGCCGATAGATTTTTCTAGCTCTGGACCCGCGACGCGCAACGCAACACACTTGACCTCATTTCCAATGCGTAATTGATCATACCCTGGCGCTTAATTCGATACGCATTCTTAAAAATTTTTAAATGGCTCCTTAATATAACCGGGTCTAGGGGATACAGAGGTTGATCTTTGATCAAAAGAGTTAGATGCGCTTTAAGGAAAATTAGATGGGTGTCGAAACCTAAAGGGACCGCGGTAGCTTTCAGCCTGAAGCGGCCAAATAATGGTTATTCTTGCGACGGAAGCTGTATTTTTCGGGTTAAAGGCTTAACAGATAGCTTTTACCGCCTTTTCTAACATTTAAAAATTTCTTGCCTTCGCACCCAAAAGTTGTTGATGCGACTTCCCGTTGTTAACGGCGCTAATAATTTTTTTTCTGGGCCGTAAATACAGTTTTTCAATAGAAAACTCGTGGTTTGTACCATACAATTGCCCTAAATACGATTGCATATGTTCAAAAATTCGCAAAAACATTGATCTCCTCCCAAAAACCCCCGTGATGCAACCTTCGGGCTGACCTGTGTTGTTTATCTCACTGTCATGGCCCGGTGGGTGCGTCTGGGCAGGCAGGGGCTCTGTTGAAATCTCAAGTTTCTGTCCCCTCTCACCCCTTGGAAAGAGCAATGATGCAAACAGGGTCTTTAAAACAGTAGAGGCTGGGAGGTGATGTTGCCCACTAGACATCTCTACTACTTGCACCTGGCCTTGAAATTGATTTTTAACCACTTTTTTCTCGGCTCCTCCACCAATTCTTTTGTTAAATTTTCCCTTTTTAGCTCTCCCAAACCCTAATCAACCTAAAAATCTACAATGGCCCACCTGCCCGTTCCCGTGAGTTCTTAAAAATTAATAAAAATTTTATAACATTTTTCAATGAATTTATTAGCCATCTAGCTAATTTGAAGTTCAAAATATGCCTGATTTTAAAAGTAGATGGAGCCGAAATACTGCTTGAAAAGCATTAATTAAATTTAAATGACGTAATGAAAAGAATATATTTTAAGGAATCCGGATGTGCTTACATCGCCACGCTTGCCCCGGCCGCCATCGGCTTCGTCGGTTACTCGATTTTTGCCGGAGATGACCTGACGCAGAGATGGTATCAGGTATGTTTTTATAAATATTGAGATACTCGAGTTAAATTGCAAATTTATCAAAACCCTCTGCTTTCAGACTCTCCCCCGCCGAGAGTGCGCCGCCAAGACCCTGAAAGCCTCCGCCCTCACCGATTTTCTCTCCATTTCTCCCCTAGGCTACGCTTCTTTCCTTGTCCACCGTGCTGCCGGTATCTTAAGAAACTTTTAAAATTACTATCATTTGCTCAAGACCACTGCCCATGCAACAAAAAGCTGGCGATGAACGCCTACGGCCTGAACCTCTTGCTGTTGTTGGCCAAGAACTATGCGACGAGGAACCAGAATAAGACTCATGTTAGTGAATTTCTGATCTATCGCTCTTTCTGCCTTACTCTCTCTCTCTCTCACTCACTCTCTTTCTCACTCTCTCTCTCTCTCTCTCTCTCTCTCTATCTCTCTCTCTCTCTCTCCCCCTCGTTCGCTATAATAAATTCTTTTTCAGCTTGCCGGTACCTCCACCCTGGCCGCCATCCTCGCCATCGCCACTGCCGTCGGATTCTACAAGGTATGGCTTTTTCACTGTATATAACTATTTTAATATAGTTTAATTACTTTGTAGAGTTTTTTATAAAACTTTATTAATTAAAGACGATTTATTAAAGTAATTTACCTCTTTTACAGGCCGACAAGACCGCCGGCCTTCTGATGGCCCCGTACGCCGTGTGGACCAGCTTCCAAGCCTACAACTCGCTCCAGAAGGACGTCTAACCACACCATATTCCATTTTTTGTATAGGCAACCCCTCAAGTACAACTATCTTTATTCGACCTTATCGACCTCTTGCTGCTCCACGATAAATTTTTGCAATAATTACGAGTGTCCACGAGCACGCCCATAAATAGCTTTCGGAACGCTGACAATACGTCACTGGTCTCTTGCCAGCCGCTGATACGAAAAAACAACGGCTGCCTGTTGCCGAGGTTTGTATGCCGGGCTATTTTTAGAGTGATAACGATTAGACAACGGCGTGGGAGAGGGCCCGTGCAGGCTAGCAAATCAGCTGTTGACAAGCCTCCTGGGACTATGCATACATCACCTGCCTGGTCTCGATGACACCGCGATTCGTCAGTTGATACCGTAAACGTCTCCGATTTCGCCTTGAAGTTAAAAGACGGCACTAACGAGCCTCGCTGCAAAAGAGAGGTCGACCAACTACCCTGGTAGTCAATCAATTTTTGGGTATGTTCAAGATGAAGAAGAACAACTAACTGCGAGCCCTGGAAACCCCTGGCACCTGGAAACCAGAAGAGCATTATTCTTTGTTGGCAAAGCTTTTGATGCTTAAGCCCGCTAATAAGCCGCTATCCAAAAGATACCTCAAAATAACACTTTTGATCGGCGTCTAAGAAAAGGATCTGAAGCTACGTAGCGATTCCCCTAACTGCCGCTCATCAGAAACCATTTTTTTGCCAACAATTTTTCATGGCTCCTCCTCATTTTTCACTGTTGCCCACGACCACTGCCTCGAACCGTTTCCAATCATTTTGTAACCGCAGTATCTACCGCCATCCAAACTATTGCGCCTCCGAGCCCCCGTCACGCGTTATCAAGAAACACCCGACTCTCCTTTCGGCAAGGCTGTGGCCGGGGTAGGGGTTATTAGACTGGTGAAGCCGTTCTCCCAAATTACCCACCGATATCGAGTCGGTCGAAGTCTCTCACTTCTAACCATTCCATCCAAACCTCCTATTCCGCCGTCTACAATGTCGAATGTGGGTTTTCACGCACCAACTCAGTCTTCGTGTCCAAGCTACCATAGCCACCCCTGCTTTTCAATCTAAAAAACTAGACATCTCCAAATAAATCGAGCCAGTGAATTCAAAGTTGATGTTGGTTTATTCCGGATAGCCCGATTTTTGTAGCTCGAAAACAGTAGTCCCCTAAATTTCGCCCGTATGTTTTTCTTTCTCCCCGCGCAACTTCCCTTGAATCACCGCAATCCGCAGCTACTCCCAACTCTCTTTCCTCTTCTATTACCTCTTCGCTGCTTCAGCTCAGGTAATTAGCAAAGAGTTGGGCTTGAAAGGGTTGGGCAAAAGCGAGAGCATACAGTTGCCGTCGACTAGCAGACCCCAATTCAAAGGAAATCCAGAGCAGCTATAAGCCATACTCACGCGCGTTGCTCGTCGCTTTCAAGGGCGAGCAAAGCCTATAGAAATTTAGTCAAGTAAAACATAATTTAAATTTTAAAATCCCTTTGAAGACTAGAGCCTATTATCGCTCGAGCGTGTCACTCGATCCGTTGATCCCGTTCACGCACCCACTACTGCCCAGATCTTGTCTTTCATTGGTTCCCATTGGCTTTGTGTTCACGCGTTTGGGTTGTAATTAAATCCCTATCAATAGGACAAGCCTGTTCTTGCAGGGAAACATTTCGGAAAAATGCGCTGATAACGCGGGGAAAGGTTCCGACAGGTGGCCACCGATAGCGCGAATGCGTGGGCGGAAGAAAAATATTCGGACTTTCCTGGCGGGTAGCACACAGTTACTTAAGATAAGGGTTCCACGCCGGGCGGAGGGGTGCGTTCTGGCAGACAGACACGCAGAGGGAACAGGGCCGACTATACCTCGCCCATAGAACAATTATGAAGTCGTAATAATGGCATAATGATAGGTGCAGGGTTTTAATGTTTAGGGTGTAAACTTATGTGGTTTTTAAGGGCCTCCAGCGCTTATCAACGACCTGTTCAGATTGTGACTGTGCACGGTGTTTCCGGCGAGCAGCCAAAGAGTCACTGGAATTGGATGATCCGAGAGTTATGCTTTGATGGCATTGTCGAAAGGTAGTCTATAATTTTTAGTTTTAAAAACGTTTTTAGTGCCTATTATGATGTAAACGACCACACACATCATCTCGCATTTGCAAACCAGATCACAGCAACCAGAGTACGCCAAAACTTTTCGGCACCTAACCGAAGTTCAGTTTGCAAGCGAATTCGACGGGCAGCCGTATCCATACAGCGCTGGCATCGAAATCATGATCATAACGACACCACCGTCACCGTTCGAGTGCAGTCTATTTTGGGGAATCAGATCGCGATGAAGCGATTTGCTGTATGTTTTTGTGTACGCAGGCGAGGCGATAATAACGATTTTGGATTGGCATAATAACGAATATTGATTTTTCTACCTTTCCTACAATTTGATCTGAATCTGCCATCTTACTGAATTTTTGTGTGAGTTTTGTACTTTTTTGCCATATCCTGCCATATGAGATTTGGATGATGTACAAACTCACGCTGCCACCTGATACCCGGATAAAGACTATTTTTATTATGTATTGTGTATCACTGTCGAGTTCCATTCGCTATGCCGAATTTTGCTATGCCGATTGACGCTATGCCGAATTTCACTATGACGAATTTTCACTATACCGAATTTTTACTATACCGAATTTTCACTATGCCGAATTTTGGTATACCGAATTTTCACCATGCCGATTTTCACGATACCGAATTTTCACCATGCCGAATCTTCGCCATACTAATTTTGATAAGCGGTATGTTCCCCATTTTTTTTACTGTTTTTTTTCCAAATATCAGGGGCCTAGAAAGTTAGAGTTAGCCTAGAAATTTCCCAAAAACTCGGGCAGATCGTGGGTCCCGTAGGCGCAGCAGATTTTTTTTTGTTGCACTGCTAAGTCCCAGTTGATCTTAGTTATTAATTAGTAGAGACTATTAGTGGTAGAGTAGAAAAAATTCGGCATAGCGAAAATCGGTATAGCGAAAATTCGGTATAGTGAAAATTCGGCATAGTGAAAATTCGCATAATGAAATTCGGCATAGCGAAAATTCGGCATACCAATAATCGGCATACTGTAAATCGGCACAGCGAAAATCGGCACAGCAAGTATTTACCATCACTGTCCTACTTGACGCATTGATACACTCGCGAGTAACTGATGTCATGCCAGAAGTCCAAGGAGTGATGATAAACCGTTTTCAAGAATTTTTCCCCCGCTGTTGCCCCGCCCGACAGCGATAAGCCAATTTTCAAGGATTTTGGGGTCCTGAAATAAGAGCATGTAAATTGGGAGGGGCCCATTGTGAATGGTCAGCCTACCAGTTCGCGGCAAAAAAAGGTGGTAAATTATCGATCAGTCGTTGGAAGTCGGGAGTCTTTGCTGATAAGGTGTAAAATAGCTACTTTGGTTTCCATTCGTCGCATGCCAACACGATCCAGTCGTTACTTATGCCCTTAAAAAATCGCCACAAAGCTCGACAAATAGCTTCACACTTTCCAGGGTGCCGCGACTTTCTAAGAGACCGTCATGTTTGGGCCCCCGGATCTTCAGGGGTTCTCTGTGAGTATTCTTCGCGTCCCACAAAAAAGCCTCTGCGTGCTAGAAAGGATTTTATTCTCAAAGAACACTAGCCGAGAAATGCAACCTAAAATTAACCAATTTTTTAGAGGTTCCAACAAAGCATGCAACAGGCGTTGTCAATGGCGCAGCAGGTAATTTTGGTTCGAAGACGGCCTGAGAAGAATCGTCTTGTCATTCAGTTTTAGACCTAAAAATCAACTAAATTGCGGCATCATCGTCTGTTCACATGATTCTAATGCACAACTTTATCCACACCTTTACTATAAATCAACCGTACTTTCAGGCGAATCAATTTGAGCGACAACACGTACTACGTCCTGGCGACGTCACGGGCCCGGTAAGGGGTTTCCGTCCCATTTTTATTGATATTCTTGCTATTTGGTACCGTTAAAAACTACTTTCAAACGGCAGGAACTTTCAGGAGAGCTGAAAGCCAAAGGTAGCTCGATTTAGGCACCGACACCTCCAAGCTACCCATACACGTCCGGGTTTTCGGCTCACCCTCCGAGCTATACCTACACATCTACCTCATCTGGTCCAACGCCGGCGAGGGTTTGTCATATCGATCTAAATCCGAAAATCCTGATTTTAGAATTCTGGCAATCAGACGATCGTCGTCGTGACAAATATCCCTGACGAAGACGACGCGGACCTGTGGAAATATATGGTGAAACGGATGGCAGGGGGCAATGTGGATCGTCTGAAAAGGTATTTGAAATTGACGATGGGCTATCAAGAGGAAGCTCACCCTTCCAGGGCTATCCACCTTGGTCCGGACACTCGCCAGTTGCTTTTCGAATCGGAGACCGCTGCGAAGGCGGCAAGTTATAATTAAATCGTCTTTAATACAAATTTTTTTAGTTCATCAAAGAATATGACAGGAAAAAGTACCCCTTCGGGATGGCAGGCGATACGATGCGGATGAAAATTGCGGATGAAGCAATGGTAAATTTGACGCTAGACTGATTTGGCTATACGCTTTTTTAACATCCGACGTCCATTTAGATACCCAACAAGAAAAAGCTGCTGATCACTGGATTATCAGCTGATTGGACCCCTGAGTTAATCTACCACAATTTGCTCGGTGCGAGCACCATGATCAAGGGCGGAATGTGCGTTTTTCGGAAAATCTGAGAAAAATTGGACCAATCAATTTTAGCCAAGGAGTCAGGCCTATGGAGAAGCCCGGATCTGGCATCTACCAAGTCATTGTCGAATTTTTCTCTGAAGACGCTTGCCTAGAGGTTTGTTTTCAAAAGCTATTTTCCAGGTATGTCCGACTTAGGCCATGCAACGATGTCGGCAAAACTCTATGGGTTCCATCATGCGAGCTAAGCACGTATTGGAGCCGTTTTCAAGTATGCTTTGTGACTCGTAGTTGATCAATAATCCTATGGCCCCTGATTAAAAAGATTTTTCAGACTTCGAATCGCCGCATAAGAAGCTCGTGCTCAGAGGGCTGCCAAAAGACGCGACAAAAGCTGATATCATCCGCTATGTCTTTATGAACGATCCGGAATTGATTCACGAAAGGTATCGCACCAACGAATGCCTGAAGCTAACCTTGTTAAGCATCAGCCTCCACAACCTAAATTGTACGGCGGAGTTCAAGACCGAAGAGGCAGCGACTCGGGTAGGGTTTGAAAAAATCTGATACCTCGCAAATTGCAGATGTTCGTTGACATCAACAAAAAGCCTTATCGTGGCAACGGGCCATTGCTGCATGTCGAATGGTTCACGTCGAATTGAACGTCAATGCCCGACAACAAAAAAACCGCACAAAAACGGAAAATAATCGCAAAACTACAAGAAATTTTGGTTTTTATGTCCCAGGAATACTCGATTTAGCGAATTAACGCTTGGTACTCAAGCGCAGCCGCCAGACGTCAATCCATTTGTTGTAGACAAAGGTCCGATTTTCTGGAGAAAAACTTTGGGCTTGGTGTCGAAGCGTCACTCGCTCGCTTTTCGTGGCGAGTAATAGAATGGGGCTGCTGCTGATCGCAATGAAAATTGCCGTACAGTTTGGATGCCGGCCACTAAAAATAGTGCGGAATGAAAAAGTCGAAAATTTCTTCAAAAAACCGACCCCTATAGATGCCGACAAATCGAAATTCCACCCGCTGAAACACTAGTAACAAATAGAATACGTAAAGAAATGCGCGGCAACGCGTTAACTTCCGGTAACTCCGCCCGGTCATTCTTTCGCCGCATCACACAAGCATAAAGCGAAAAATAACGAAAAGCAATGTCTTTATTGGTTCTCGACCCTCTCCATTTCCGGGGCAATGACAGAAATGCTTGGCGTCAGGCTGTTGACCGTCTTTCGATTGTAGCTCCCGATCGTGTAGGTTTCTTTTTCTAAAAAAAGAATATATGAAAAATAGTATTAACTAACTTTTGCAGGTCAGCATTTGAGCAATTCGCAGCCGATACGACTTTGTGGCAATCAATAGTATCGAGCTGTTGCAGATCGAGTGGACGTTGATGTACATCGGGTGGATACCAGCTACTAAAAATATAAAAATTAAGTACCTGTGCATTATAACGGGGGGCAACTCATTTCCTTCAATTGTTCTAATACAACCAAAGGAAGTGTTTTTCAGCTGTTTTCAATATTCCTAAATCGAACAAACCCTGCAAATTGCTAGCGAAAAATACAAAAAAATTTATTTTTTTAGCAAAAATTTGCCGTTTTTCGACAAAATGCCGAATTAATAAATATATTTTATTCTTCGCTTGAAATCCTACTATACAGGGGGTCCCAATAAAAAAGGTATTCCCTTCCGCACCTCTGTTCAAAATTTCAAGTCGATCGGATTTGAAATCGCATAATGCCAGCGTGACCTTTTTATTGGGATACCCTGTATATAAAAAAATAGTGTCAGTGTGTTTGTGTGTGTGCCAATTTGCATGCAACTTCCGTCAGCGTGTCCGGAAGTCTTCTCAATAACCGAGCAGTTTTAGGGTATGATTGATACGTCATTAGGTGCGTAATGGTCTGGAGATGACTGCACACATATAAAATTTTACAAAAGCAGCTATTTTGAACGTTGATTTAAGTTTTTGTAAAAAATTTCGCGAGCTCCCTTTGTTAGGAAACAATTAACATAAACCGGAAGTGGTGATAGCGTATATAATGGGCGAGAGGACGTGGTTTTCATTTTTTGTCATCTGAATTCGGGAAAATTATGAAAACTGACGAATTTCATGGGATCAGACGGGCCAGGGTTGAGAAGTCGCGAAGCGGCTTTTCAACCCTGGTGCACCAGAAATTAACATACCAAAAGGCTCTGAATAATTGAAAGTCCTGGCTCACCCCAATAAAATCCAGAAAATCTGAGGTCAACTCGTTGGAAAACGAGCAAGAAATATATGACGTAAGGAAATGCGATGTAGATAAGTTGGCAAAGTGCCTAAAGCCAAAAATATGAATAAGTAAAGTAAAAAGTAAAATAAATAAGTTTAACAAAAATTATGGCTAAATTGCGTTATATGGTCACTAAACGGATTTTGGATTTTTATATACCAAAATGCTCAGCAGTTCGAGCTGGTTCAGGATCAGTTGAAAAAACTATTGGGAAACACTTCTGGAGCGAGTTATAACACTTCAAAGTTGGCGAGTGTCGTATATGGTCACTAAACGGATTTTGAATTTTTAGATGTCAAAATGCTCAGCGGGCCGAGCTGATTCTAGAACAGTTGAAAAAACCTTTGGGAAATACTTCTGGAGCGAGATATAACACTACAAAGTTTCGCGTTACCCCGGCCCAATACATAACGTTGTCGCCCAGGCGAGTCAGTTTTCGGTGGTGCGAAAAATGGTTGGGTTCGAAATGGGTTTGGCATGAAACTACATACCCGATCTGAGCCTAAAAATAAGGCTTCGTGCCACCCAGGGCCTAGTCGCTTCGGATGGGTGCGAGCTCGTACAGGGTTTCGAAATGGGGGCGCCAAGCCCGGCGAAGCGGCCGGGGGCGCCCCCATTTCGAAAGAGTGGAGCGGCAGCCCATCCGAAGCGACGGCCCACCTTGCCTGACTCATGGGAGTACGTTGAATAATATACCACTTATGAGATATACCACTTCGAAGCTGGGCTTCAAACAGCCCCCTATATACCATGTTTTTGCCCCGGAAATTCCGTTTTAGGGGGAAGATGGATAAGTGTGCGATAAGCGTTTGGCTTGACATTACACACTGGATCTGAGCCTAAAAATAAGGCTTCGTGCCACCCCGGGGCCTAGTCGCTTCGGATGGGTGCGAGCTCGTACAGGGTTTCGAAATCGGGGCGCCCGAGGAGCGCGAAGCGCCCAGGCGCCTCGATTTCGAAAGAGTGGAGCGGCAGCCCATCCGAAGCGACGGCCCACCTTGCCTGACAATGTATTTTTTTTACCCTTGAAACGGCAATTCTCCACCATTCCGTTTCTTTACGATGTACAGTTGGCGTATTTTGGTGTACTACGTACTACTTCAGGGGCTGAATGGACGGTTTGTAAGCTAGCTATCTCGCGTCAGAGATTTTTCCCAAAGGTTTTTTCAACTGTTCTAGAATCAGCTCGACCTGCTGAGCGTTTTGACATATAAAAATCGAAAATCCGTTTAGTGACCATATACGACACTCGCCAACTTTGAAGTGTTATAACTCGCTCCAGAAGTGTTTCCCAATAGTTTTTTCAACTGATCCTGAACCAGCTCGAACTGCTGAGCATTTTGGTATATAAAAATCCAAAATCCGTTTAGTGACCATATAACGCAATTTTCCCAAAATTATACCCACCTGCAATAAGAAAACAGTTGCAAAATAGCGCCGCAATGCTCGTGTTTTTCGACTCTCCTGGGGCTGGGAGCCGAACTTCACCAAGTTGTTGTGGATGGTGGACGCTACAATGTAGCAGTATTGGCAGGTGGTGATCGTCAATAGGACCAAAACGGCGCGGAAAATGTTTCGAACAAGTGGGAGCATATCGACGAGCAGGACATTATTCCTGCCGCAAAATAGGGTTTGGCGGCGACACCTGAAAATTCTGGTTCTTTCGCTGGATCGGGGGAGGCGGATTTTTGTTGTAAATGTCCAGAAATAATTAGTAAAGTAATTATCACAATTTTAATGTGTATTTAGTAAGATTAAATAACATATTTAAGCGGAAAAATCTCCAAAAAAAATCTCTAAACCGTTCAAAAATCCGGCATTGCGCTCGTACAGACCGAACTTTCCGCTCGCAAAAATCGACATTTTTTGGATCTTTATATTTTTCATGTCTATTTGATATTTTTGAAGATTTTTAACCTTAATGCGACCTTCATTCTTTTGGATAAAAATCGCCTAAAAGGCTTCACTCCTTAAAAACGGGTTTTATTGGCGAGGGCAGTTCAGATATTCAAATACTTTGCTATTTGGTGTGAAATTTTCCTGGTAAAAACACCTAGATAGTTTAAGTACGACGAGAGCCTGCAATTCCCCAGGGGCTGACGTAGCCGATCACCTGCCACGGCTCTACTTTACTGTTAATGCAAAAACAATCGGCTTTACAATGTGGTCGGCGTATTAAATTGGCACCTGCACAGTGTTTTCTGAGTTAAACTTATGTTGCTTAAAGGGGCCCGGAGGTCAAAATTCGTGCGTGCGGGGATTGATCCTACTGATGAAAGAAAACGCAAGGGCTACTGCCCCAAAATACCGGCAACTATCGTTTCGTTGCGAAAAAAGCGTAAAATATTTGAGTAAAACCGAATAGTTCTCGGACCGAAAAGGACTTTTCGAGTGCGCGGCGAAAACATGTCGTCATGTCTGATAAGGCGCCCAATCACTCGATCTCGGTGATTCTTTGATCCATTTTCAGAATTAAAAAGTATAAAATGATCAAAATTCGATGAGGATTACACAAATAACTTTAGAATTTTTAAATGCAAGCGTTTTCACGTTCAACAATGGGCCAAGACCAAGCGGCGCGGTCGCGCTGCGGCCAGTAATCAACGCAGGGGCCCTGGACCACTTTTCGGAGCCCCTCGCATTCCAGCAGCCATATTCTTCCAGACTCACCTTAATCGGATCAATCGTCGCTTCCCCATAGAAATACTGTGACCAGAGCCAAACACTGGAACAAGTCGCCAAGCAGACAAAAACGGCGATGAGGCCGAGCTTCATCCGGCGCTCAAAAACCCGCTCCTTCAGGTGGGCGGTTTGATACTTGGTAATACCCGTGTAGTAAATCACGGTCGCGATATAAAAAACCATAAAGTAGTAGAGATTCTAGAAATTGAGTTGAGGTATCGGGATCCACAGCTCACAATCCCCAAAAATGACTGCTCTTTCGTGAATCGATGATCGCTCAACATTTTCACGCAGTAGATTGGGGCGTAAAGGATAGGCTTGTAAATGGAGATTATCGTATCCGCGAGTATGCGATGCGATTATCGTGCGTATGCGATCTGAATGCTTGAATTTTGCCGTTAATACAAAATATAGTTTTGGTAAAAGCCCAAACTGAAAGCTGCGCCTCAAACTTGATAAAATTAAATTAAGGTGCTTTCGCCGTAGCGGGGGGTCCGGATAATTTAGAATCGTCGTATTTCAAGTAGAAAACTATCTAAACACCAAAAATTCGGAGCTCAAGTCCGACAAAATCGCCAATTTTGTTTATCGAAAATCGCTATTTTGCATATTTTTAGCAAAATTTGTAAAGTTTTTGCGTTGATTATTAGCATGAAAAGGTAGTAAAACTCTTCCATTTATTTTAGAAAAGGCTCCCAAGTAAGGAAAAAAGTTGGTTTTCTCTCCTGATATCCCCCCCCCCCCCCGATAATGCCGAAGAACCCGAATTAAGTATACTTACCAGTAGGTTCAGCTGGATTCGTTTATAACTCTTTGTAGCTGGAGACGGTATCCGGAGCAGAAAATACACAGCTATCCCGAATAACGCCGATCCGGTGGTCCAGGTTACGGTATAAATCCGTGCCAGGACCCATTCTACTTCCGGTGAGGGCAGGAATACATACTTTGACGTGTAGTTTTCCATACTTTCTGTAAAAAACAACATAAAAACGGCCAAAAAGACTTGAGAAATCGTGAAGGACTAGACGAAAAGCAAAAACAAATTCGCTCGGCGTTCACCGGGATTCAAAAAGCAAGATTGTAGCGCTTTCCAGGAAATCAAATACAGCACCTGTTTGTGGTCCAGCCCCACCTGCCGGTCTACCGAATTTTTGAAAAAAATGATGAAAATAAGTGGAGGGCAAAGTGTTGCTGAACAGCTACCAGTTTGTGAGCTACCTGTTGGCGAATCGTACGAAACATTTTAAGAGAAATATGCATACAAATTTTTACCTGAATTCGAACAACGACAATCACAACTTCGACTTCGTTCCCATAAAATTGGGGTGGACTGACCTTAAACCCATTATTTTTGGGGGTTTCCATGCGAATGGGGTACTCGGAAATCGCCTAAAACGTGCCAAACCAAATAACGTGGAATTACAAGTCCCTAATCCCGACCGATCTGACAAGGAATGCTTTTTTTGAGTCATTGGCAAAACCTTACGAGACCTAGCTCATTCGATAGAGAATTCGATTCTGAACAAAACCCCGTTGTTCTTTTGTGCAGAATGGCTATCCCTGATTTTATAAAATTTTAAAACTGCATCCAAAAGCCTATCTTTTTGCTCGAAAGGCGCTCGGTAAGAGACGGTCACTAGTATTTTAAGTTTATAAAATCAGGGATAGCCGTTCCGCAAAAAAGAACAACGGGGTTTTGTTCAGAACCGAATTCTCTATTGAATGAGCTAGGTCTCGTAAGGTTTTGCCGATGACTCAAAAAAAAGCACTCCTCGTGAGTCGGGATGTCTAAAGTTTGTGCTCGACTACTTCCTGTGAGACACGATCTGGGAATCCCAGGCATTTTTATAATGCTGACGGTACGGGAACGTCGGAAATTCACACGGATCCGCGCATTGTACCGGCGCCTAACAAGCGCTAAGCTAATTAGAATCGTGGGCTAGGATATCATGGCATGCTAGCGCTAGCGGAACAATTTGTTCGGTGTCGTAGACTGCGCCTTGTTCAGTGAAACCGATCGCGAAAAAGTTCTTTAAAATTAGCGGCAAAGGGGCAGACCTAAGACAGAAAATGCCTAATAATGAAGTCTGTAGTAAGTCATTTTAATAGCGCCTCATTGTTAGTAAACTTTAACTATATTGAAGTCGAAAAAGAAGCAAAAGAACTAGAAAAAACTTTTGTGGAAATCCTATCCTATAAGCGAGAAAAGTATGTTTGTTTTCTGTGCAGCCGATTTCTCGGCCGTCAGGCCGAATTTCGCGCTGATTTTTGGCATGTAGGTGGAGAAACACATCCTCTTTATAGACATTTTTTTGTTTTTCGAAATTCCTTCATTTAACGATTTTACAAGCGAAATAGTGAAAAACCCTTAACATTGTGGCCAAAAAAAGGTTTGTACAGAGGATATCTCGCGATCCAAATGGAACTGGGCGCTAATTTTTGGAGGGTCGATTGAGAATTGAATTCTCCCGATATACAATTCGGCGTTTTGTCAGATTTTCTAAAATGAATTTTTTATGAAGATTTTTATAAAAAGTCCTTAATAAAGTGGGCCAAGAGCCGTGGTGTCCGGGCCATATCTCAGAGCCCAGATGAAATTTCGCTCTGTAATTTGGACCACTTATGTATTCGATGGTGGGCATCACGCGCATCTTATTATCTTTGCAAATTTTCAGCTGATTCAGACTAGAAAACCGAATTATGTAAATTGACCAGTAGGCCTCCCTCCGGGGATCATTGGGTCGCCCTTTTCTTTGCTTTCCCCGACGCCCCTTTCCCCAGAACGGAAGAGGGCTTTCCCGCCGCCTGTTCCCATCTGTGGGATGGTGTAGTGGATATGCGCCCGGTCTACGATGCGCATGGTCGTGAGTTCGGATCCTGGGAGAATTTAATTTTTTGCTTTTTGGCAGTTCAGTAACAAAAGATATTTCTAGGCTCTGGGTGCGCGAGATTGAGGCCTGCTCTCGCTCTAGCGCCGCAGTCCAAAGAAAAGGTCCTTGGCCCAGGCTCTTGCGCCGCAGGCCAAGGATGGGAGAAAACCCAGTAACTAGCGCTGCAGGTAAAAAGGTTCTAGCGCGTTTAGGCCTGGATCGCGCTCTAGCGCCGCAGGCCAAATGCTTGGCCTAGGCTCTCCCGCCGCAGGCCAAATTCTAGAGAAAAACCAGTAACTAGCGCTGTAGGCAAAAAGATACTAGCGCGAGGTTTAGGCCTGGCTCTCGCTTTAGCGCCGCAGGCCAACGAAAAGGTCCTTGGACCAGGCTCTGGCGCCGCAGGCCAAAGAATGGCTCCTTGACTCACGTTCATGCGCTGCAGGCTAAAAAAAGAAGAAAGTCATCGTTCCTGGAGGGGTCCAGTGGAAAAGGGCCGCGAAGCGGGCTTTTTCCACTGGTTCTGTAATATTTGGAAGACTTTTTCCGGCGTAAAGAGATCTTATGGAAGCGAAAACTGGAAGGGAGCTATTGAAGACCACACTCTATTTTTGACATTGTTGATTGACCCTTTTGCAATTATCATTTTCAAAATGTTATCGTTAATTCGAGCACCGACCCCCGTGTTTTCCCAGGTGGGATCCAATGGGGGCTGTTCGGGCTAATTTCGGCGCGTGGCAATATGGACTCATTCAGCTTCTTGGATTGACGATTCCGAAACGAGCCTGATGTTGCCAAGGCAAAATCACTGATACCTAATGGAAACAGACTGAATTTGAACGACGCCTTGGCTGTCGTGGCGGCCGTGTTTGACACGCCGGCGGGGGTGCCCCCTACCGGTTAGCCCCCTCCGCCCCACCACAGCCCCATCCTCCGTTGTGGTCTAGTGGTTAGGATTTATGGCTCTCACCCATAAGGCCGGGGTTCGATTCCCCGCAACGGAAGAATGTTTTTGCTGTTTGGGAATCAGGGTCGTCCGGGCCATCATATCATGATTTTCTCGTTTTGACGTCCGTTTCCCATTTCAGACTTGCCTTTTTTATTGCGGAAACCAAGCAATAATCAAGAAGATACGGTTTTTACAAAATCTTTATTCCATTACACAACACCGGAAAGGAAAATGTGAACAATGGGAAAGCGCGGGGAAACATCTTGTGAATAGGAACTATCGGAATTGCTGGCGTACGGTAGGGACGAGTAGCTGGGGCCGGCTCGGCTCTATTTCGGGCCCAAATGTTGGGAGACCGGGGCTCCGTCCGTCTGCGAAAAGGCCGGCTCGACGGGTTTCTAAAAAAAAGCTTTCTTTTTGGATTTTCGCCTCCTTTAAAGGGACGAGCAAGGCAAAAGCATAGATTTTACTGCTCTGGATTCCCAATTCACACCACAAAAAACCCTGAACGATGACTTGCCGGTCCCTTTAAATTGGCGTGATTAAGAATTAGCTTTATCAAGCGCGAATAATTGTTCAGAGGTCGAGCTTCGGACGCTCCGTCTGGTCGCGGCCACCCGGCGAGTCGGACGATTTGGACTTTGTTGGGCTGGCCTTAACAAAACGAATTCACTCTTCAGCTTTTAATGGGCAACATACCCCAGGGATCATCACACTCGCAGCCATCGTCGTCCCGCCGCCACCCCCGCCGCCCACGTCGTTAATTTGGCTTTGCAGCAGCGTGATCGACTTGTTCATGCCCCTGAAAAAAGTCATGAGTAAGGGGGGTCAAGCACAGACCATTTAAAACACCCCAAAGCCAGAAAGGATTGTTAAAAAGTGAGTATCTATCATTAACCGGTCGAATAAGCAGAAAACTAAAAATTAACTTGTTCCCTGACCCCCCTCCCCCCGCTAACAGTCCAGTACCAAAACCGCGTCAAAGACCTACATAACAGCCAGACAGAGGAAGATGAGCCAGCACAAGAAGAACACGGCGACGCCGCCCAGCACGCACACGCCGATGAAGACGCTTTGCTAAAGGGTGGCATGATCAAATCTCTGAATCGTGCCCCACCTACCGTAGTCTCCCCCAGCTGTTCCATGCCAATCTTCAGCTTGGTGAACTCATCGTTCGAGAAGAGCTGAAAAGAGGAGGGGCTTCAGGCGATGTGGTCGAAAGCGAACCATTTTCCCTATTTTCGGCTCTTTCGCGTTATCGGGGGGGGGGGTTATCAGAAGAGAAAACAAATTTTTCTTAGTATCCCATTTCCTAAATATGAATATAGGACGAGTTTCTAACCCCCTTATTGCTATTCCTAAGCGCAAATTTTACAAATTTTGTTAGAAAATACAAAAAAAATAACGGCTTTTTGAAGGTTTTTGGGATAGTTTTAGGTAGATAGACAATTCCCAAGTGTTATACGAGCGCAAATACCGCACCTTTGTCTTGTTTTCGAGGTCGGTGACGCGAGCCCCGACAGCGACCTCGGCGAGCGTGGCGACGCCGAGGAACAGCAGCAGCGAGACGATGCGCAGCATTTTTACGCCATGACCCGAATTCTTTCCGGATCGTGACAGCAAAATTGGGGCTGTATGCAAATTATTTGCAGGGAAATCGTGTAAAGTCGGTGCCCGATCATCACAAGCAAAACATAAGATATCCCATGCAAAAACATTTATTCAGATCCGATAACCACGCCGTTTACAAGCGATAGTTCGGAATTTGGAAACGTGTTCAGATTTTTGGTCGAATTTTTCCCAATTGCTGCCCGGGGGGTGAACGAGTATCTTCTAGGCTTCGGTGTGCTGAAAAAAGCGTTAAATTTATTAAAAATTTCATTTTTTTCTACCTTTGGCGTGACCGGCTTGCTGAAGGAGCAATCCTCGTAGTGGCCGTCGTTGCCCTGGAAAATTAAAAAAATAGATTTTGTTGATAAAATACCTCTTTCTCGAGGGTCTCCTGCTTCGAAAGTCTGTGCCCATCGGCGGTGCTCGTCGTGGAATCGCGCTGAAAGGGAATGGAATCTAAAATCTCGATAGTCCAAAATCTAGGCAGAGAAATGCCGACAAGCCCAAATTCGAAGAGTCAAAAAACCGACACAAAAACGCTCGAATTAATACTTTCTGCCTGCAATTCAAGATTTTGAATGTCGGCATTTTGGCTGACAGCATTATGGTTTGTCGGTGTTTGGTCGGCATTAGGCTGTTGTAACCTGTTCAGGCTTCTGAGTAGCTTTAAAGGGACGACTGTACAGCGTTAAAGTCGAACCCGGTAAAAGTTTACTTTACCCCCCCCCCCCCACAGCCGAAGGGTCTCAAAGTTTTCGGTATTTTCGCTGATTTTGTCGAGATTTTTGCAACGCCATTCGATAGAGCGTCAAAAAATATACTAAGAGTTTTAATTTGAGCCTAAAATAATGTAAAATAAAAAAGTAGATCTGTGTAGATAAAGTAGATTTTGACTAGATCTCGATAGATATGCGTTGCCCACAAAAAGCTATTAGGGAAAGGGCTCGCTAAATGAAAACTACCCGTCGTCCTAGTGTTAATAAAGGCTCGATTTTGGCGTTTTCTAGCACGTATAAAGCAAAACTCCGATTTTGATACCTTCGAAGCGACGCTCTCCACATCATTCACCACCGGCGGCACTTTCGGGCTTGGGCTCACGCTCGGCTCTTTCGCCACCGTCGGCTTGACCGCTTTTTGCAGTTTGCTAAAGTGAGCATCTTCCACAGTGACCCGAATTTCCCCTACATCACCTGACAGCCAAGCACACAAGTCGACAAGCACAGGCATAAGATGGCCGCGCCGAACACGCCGATGGAGCCGATCAAGAACAACTGAAAAGCGGGGCTTCAAATTGCGAAAAATTGGCTCTTTCGGAGTAAATTGCTTTGAACTGACTTTCTTAAAAATATTATGGGTAAGATACTAAAAATTCGTCTTTTTTCGTCTACAGGTGTGTAAAGGACGAAAGGACGCTGTCCTATTCGTCTACAGGTGTGTAAAGTATACCAAAATGTTCGTCTTGCTCTGGCGAGTATTTTGGTGTAATTTGACACACCTGCCCATAAACCGCGAGCCGAGATACGGTAGGGGGGGGGTATCTGGAGTTCAGCCCTATTATTAAAACCTTACAATTTTTTTAGGAAGACCATTTTAGGTCGAAAAATTTATTTTTTCCACGCAAATGACAACATTTTCTACTTGTTTAAGCAATGTCTGGTTTGTCTGAAGCTATTTAGTGTATTTTGAAGCCAGCTACCGTATCCTGCTTGAGCTCCTCCAAGACGGCGGAGGCGTGCACCGATTTGTTGAGGCGCTAAAAGCAGAAAAATAGGGAAAGGATCGAAATTTCGTACTTTTTCGAGCTGCCAGAAGCGGGCGTCAAGCTGCTGAACACGGCCGTCCAGCTCGGAGCCGTCCCCTTCAGGTGGCTCGTCGTTTGAGCTGCTCGCGGCCGTCGAATCCGAGACTGGAGCCGACGAAGTGTTCGTCTTCGCGACGGGCTCGTTTGAGGGCTAAAAACATGTTGGTAAGTGGCTAGTTGGGGCGAGGGTCAGGGTAAACTTGGCTAAACTGCAGGTTCTCCCAGGTTGGTCTACGTTACTTTGGTATACTTTCGGCCTTTTTTGGGAATTTTTCACATACACCTTGCCTAAAACATCAAAAATTTTCCAAATTTTTGAGATTGTCAGGGTGTTCTACCATTTAGAAACATTGAAAATGCTGTAAAATACTGTAAAATATACTGTAAAATCATTTGAATTTCGTTACAGCATCGCACAAAATTATTGGAGAACAATTTCTTCGCCCTCCCCCCGCTAACAGCCCACTGCCGCCAAAATTTCCAAGCTTTGAGGTTAAGCGAAAATTACCGTATTCCCGGCCTGGCCGCCCTGGCTGACCACGATGTGGCAGGAGATGAAGAAGAACAGCCACAGGAGGCGCTGCATTTTGAGGGTAACTGAGAAAAAGCTCCGACTTTGTATAAACTCAGTCCTAAAAATGCAAATTGCGTTCCCAAAAATTTATTCAACTTCAGTCTACAACAACTATCCAAGAAATCGAATCGTTTCTTCAAGTATTTCTTCGTGCGCGTGGGAATTGTAGAGGAAGCGTCAGTTGGTAAATATTCCGATGGCTTCCTTGTCGCACTTGTCGTCCTAGTCGCGACACTAAAAATTCCTGAATAAAAAAAGTCTCGCGGAAGATTCGCACCGAATTGGTGCCCAGCTCAGAACCCCAGAGGATGGCGTGCTCGGTGCTCGTGGCGGCGTGACACTGGAATTGAGACGGCTCGTTCTCGTAAGGTCTCTATTTAACGAGATTTTAAATTATTATTCTAACTTGTTTTTAGGTCAGTTTACTTATTTTGTTTGTTATTTATTAAAATACGCTTTCTAAATATTTATTCAATAGCTTTTTAAACCGTGTTTAGTTGAGTTATAAAATTGATAAAAGCTTAGGAAAAATTAGGCAAATAGTAAAAAAGCACTCCTTCAAAATGGCTAAAATTTAACGCACTTTTTAATAATAAAAAATCACCGAAAATATCTTAAAGTACACTAAAAACGCTAGTGATTTCCAAGGAATGTATTTCTTGTAAGGAAAGTGATGTGAAAAGTGACCTTCATGGGACCGGGCGGAGGTGGCGGGCTGGGATGCGGACGCGTCTTTTTCTGCTTCCGCGGGCCACCGATCGACATGTCGACGTAGATGTCCTCCTGTTTAATTATTCGCTAAAGAATTCAGTTAAACCCACAATCTCGTATTTTTCAATCTTCGAACAGCTTGTGCTCGTCGAGGCGTTACGCTGGAATGTAAAAATTACTCTCTCTCTCTCTCTCTCTCTCTCTTTTTCTCTCTCTCCCCCTCTCTCACTCGCACATACCTGTCCACCTTTAGCTGGCTTCAGAGGCTTCATCGGCTTCATCAAGATTGCCGACTTCACTGGCTTCGCTTTGGTACTCGTAGCGACATCCCGCGAAATGACAGAGTCGACGCGACTTGGCTTGTTATGCCGCTCCTTTGTAGCCTTCGACACCTTGGCTTCCTTGATGGTGGAGTGCTAAACGTATATAAATTTTTAATTTTCTGTATATCTAGCAAATAGACCAATATATACTTTCAAATCCCTCTAATACTGCGAAAACCTGATATCACCTTCGGAGCGACGCTCTCCACATCCGAACTCAGCGGCCCGGCGGTGTCCCGGGATTTTGGGATTGTCGTGGATTTGAGGGCTCTTTGCAGCTTGCTAAATTTTGGACATCCAGCCATAATGCCGACAGTTCAAATCCTGACAGGCGAAGATCCCGACAGCCAAAATTCCGACATATTGTTGAGGCTAATCGACTTCACTTCCTTTTAAACCCCCACCCTGGACTTCGGCATTTTCGCTGTCGGGATTTTGCTCACGGGATTTTGACTGTCGGGATTATAGTTGTCGGGATCTTTCCTGCCGGATTCTGGCTGTCGGCAACAAAAAGGTCGACAAAAAAATCTTCGAGTTGCCCCCCAAAAATCGGGTTCGTGTACGCCCCTGGCTGTCGCTATTTAAGCTGTATGGCGTTTGGAAATCGGAATTTCGGCTACGGTTTACTTTACCCCCCCCCCCTGAGCCGGAAGTTTTTGGCTATAACTTTTTTATTTTACACCAGGGTTGAAAAGCCGCTTCGCGACTTTGCAACCCTGACCCCGTCTGAACCGATGATATGGGAAAATTTCACTTTACGGTAACTAAATAAAATCTCGATTTTTCGATTGGAATCTATAGATCTCGGCGAGTTCTACCATTTCCAGTTAAAAAAACTATTGGGACTCGCTTCTAAAAAAAGTTATAAACATTTTAAATTGGCTAGTTCACTTTACGGTAACTAAATAAAATCTCGATTTTTCGCTTGGAATCGATAGATCTCGTCGAGTTCTACCATTTCCAGTTGAAAAAACGATTGGGACCCGCTTTTAACGAAAGTTATAAACGGTTTAAAGTGGTTGGTTCACTTTACGGTAACCTCGTAAAAATGCGATTTTTCGCCTGCGATAAATAGATATCGTCGAGTTCTGGCATTTACAGTTATAAAAACCTTTGGGAAAGTTGTTCGGAGGAAGCTACACTATATTTTTGACATTTTTGACTGTGAAATTGTCAGGCAAGGCGGGCCGTCGCTTCGGATGGGCTGCCGCTCCACTCTTCGAAATGGGGGCGCCCCGGCCCTTCGCCGGCCTTGGCGCCCCATTTCGAAACCCTGTACGAGCTCGCACCCATCCGAAGCGACTAGGCCCCCGGTGGCACGAAGCCTTTTTCTAGTCGCAGAGCGGAGGAAGTAGCGGTCATTTCCCTCCAAATCGAGTGACTCCTGTTGCAAAACCGTCTTTTTGATGTTTCAGAAATTTATAAATTCGGAGGAGGTGCAAAATGTGTGCTAATAAAGTTTTTCCTGCGCCTTTTGCAGCGGCCCCGTATTTGGTACCCCAGTACGTTCACAACTATTACGTTTTTTCCGTACAAAGGGGTCCCTCGTAGCCGAAATCGACTTTTTCGATGCGGGGTGAATTGGTTTAAAACAGCTATAACTTTTGTTAATAGCGAGTCCCAATCGTTTTTTCAACGGGAAACGCGAGAGCTTGATGAGATCTATCGATTTCAGTTAAAAAATCGACATTTTATTTAGTTACCGTAAAGTGAACTAGCCAATTTAAAATGTTTATAACTTTTTTTAGAAGCGAGTCCCAATAGTTTTTTCAACTGGAAATGGTAGAACTCGACGAGATCTATCGATTCCAATCGAAAAAACGACATTTTATTTAGTTACCGTAAAGTGAAATTTAGCCGATGATATTCTTCACTTTGCATAATTCTCACGATTTTCGATGACAAAAAAATCAGAAACGCTCCCTCTCTTCTCTTATATAGGCTACCGCAACTTCCGGCGTATGCTAATTGTTTCCTAACAAAGAGGGTGGCCCATTTTTCAACAAAAACTTAATTTTAACGTCGAAAACAGCTCATTCTTGAAAATTTTATTGGTGTGCAGTCATCCCCAGGCCATTACGCACCTAATGACGTATAAAACATACCCCTAAATACCCCCCTTATTGAGATACGACTGGAACAACCTGACGGAAGTTGCATGCAAAGTGGCACACACACACACACAAACACTATTTTTTTATATATAGTAGGATTATTGTAGGCTCAAATTAAAATTCTTAGTATATTTTTCGACGCTCTATCGAATAGCGTTGCAAAAATCCCGACAAAATAAGCGAAAATACCGACAACTTTGAGACCCTTCGGCTGTGGGGGGGGAAAGTAAACTCTTACCGGAATTTCGGCTGTCGGTATGTCGGTCTGTCGGGATTTTGGCCTATCGGTAATTTTGCTGCCGTCATTATCAGTGTCGATATTTTTTTGAATAGTATTACTAACATGATCATGTAGCCGAGGACACCAATAACGGCACACGCACACAGCAGGGTGAGGCCGAGAATTGCCAGAAAAACGAAGAGGTAGATCTGGAAAATGAGATTGTGTGTTCTTGTTTTTTCTGTCGATTTTTCATGGCGGTCGATTTTTGCAGGTCTACGTTACCTTTTCAATCCAAAATAGCCTCGCATCAAGCTGGTCGAGCCGGGAATCGGCCGCTTCAAACGCTTCTTCGCCTGCGCCGAATTCATCGGTGTTTCTGGTCGAGTTCAGCGATGAATTCTGAATTTAGAAATTCACCGATGCCGTGGAAAATGTCGGTTTTCGTCGAAGCTGTTCCTATTCTGTCCAAAGAATTACCCTAACTCCAGTGTGATTCTGAGTGGCGCCAAGTTGAGCGACGAGTAGGAGCAGCCAAAGGAGGCAGGGCATTTCGTAGTGTCATTGGGTAATTTATGGTTTGCTTGCAAATTTTTATGCAAAGGAAAATTTTGCAAATTCAGAGGATTCTGGGCGATTTCGAATTTTCTGCCTTCGTTCCTTCGCGAGTTTCCAAGGGGCGTTCAGTTAATTTGAACGCCTTCAAATTTTTTTATAATGTAATTACCGAATCCCCTCGGAAACTTTGGCATTAGGTGTGCAACGTTGGAGCCGCTTGTTTTGCAAGGAAAGATAAGCGGCTTGGCTTCACTTTGTACCCGAGCTTATCAGGTCTGGCCTGGTGTAGTGTACTAGGCATTTCTACCATTTTTACATAGCTGTAGTTTGTAATTTATTTGTATTTAATTCCTCATTTTTTCATCTCATGTTTGTAAAATCAATACTGTTCATAAGGCTATTTTTTCAAGCCTTGGCTGGCTTTCGATCCCTGCTAAATTGATCCCAAATCGTCTTGCCCATCGACCTTTGCACTAGGTCACCCTCCCCGAAATGATAAGACATCAACGGCTGTAGCCTGTAGCCTAATCACAGCTGTATTAGCACGTGGGGGTGAGTAGAGGCCGGTAATTTGCACGTTTTTGACCGGAGTTTGCACTGGGAGACCGGAAGGGCATCTCAAAACGTTTTTAAGCTCATTGCACGCTTCTGCTTTACTGGTGCTGTGACAACTACTTAGTTCACCGGTGAACTACGCGTTTTAGTTTCTTTTCCTACCGTAAGCCTCTCGCTTTTTGCCGTCAATTTACTTTTTAGCCCTTTAAAATTACTTTCTATCTGCCGTTGTTGTCTTGTTATAAACGGACCGTGTTTTTCCTATTTAAGCTGATAGCTCGTTTTTTAATGAATCTATGATTTTAGGCCTAAAAATGGCAGACAAACCTCAGGAAAAAACCTTTCAATACCAAAATTCCTTACCGAAACTTGGAGTGCCCGAGCTCGACGCTACCCTCAAGAAGTATTTAAAATCAGGTAAAGTAGAGCTTGAAACCAAATTCTTTTGATTGATCCTTTAGCACTTGTCGAACTTCCTGAAAAAGACCGGAAAGAAACGGAAAAGGCGGTCGAGGAGTTCCGTTCCAGTCCGCTGGCCGGTCAGCTGCAGCAGGCGTTGCTGGCCCGAAAAGAACAATTGGATAGTTGGGTAAGTTCTTTGAAAAAAACAATGAATAGACCGTAGACGTACTACTGTACTTTTTCGCAGGTATCGTAGACTAACATTTAAAAAAACCCGTAAGCCTGGCGAACATCGATATATTTCAGCTCGATGACTGGTGGTACGATGCTTATTGTGAAATTCGGGGGCCTCTTGTTCCTTACCTGTCCCTGGCAAGTATCCAGGTGGGTTACTGTAGTTTTCGCAACTTTTAGAATTTTACAGCCAAGGGCTCCGAGGGCCATTGGATCGCAAATTTGTCGAGCGGCCGATTCCATCTACCATATGTTAAAGGTGTGGGAGAGCTTGAGAAAGTAAGTTGGAAAAATTTTCTAGCCCACGCACATGCCAAAGCGTTTGCCTAAACTCACGCCTAAGCCTAAGCCCAAGGCCAAGCCTAAGCTCAAGCACAAGCTAAGCCTAAGACTAAGCTCAACCTAAGCCTAATAAGCTGATGCCGAAGCGATGTCTAAGCCTAACCTAAGCCAATCCCGCGCCTAAGCCCCAAACCCTAACCTAAGGATAAATAGAAGCCTACGCCTAAAGCGAAAGCTTACGCCTAAGTCAGAGCCAAAGTCTAAGCCTAAGCCAAAGCCTAAGCCTAGCCAAAGCCGAACCCCAAGCCTAATCCAACTTTCAGGCAAACCTATCCGGTAATGAAAAGCCGAGGCGTCATCTGGGACATGAATCAAAACTTATGCCTGTTCAACGCGGCCCGGGTCCCGCAACGCCCCAAAGATCAAATGGCACGCTATTTCAAGACGGGTGCGTTAGAATTTTTAATGATTAGCCGGATATTTTCAGAAGAACAAGGCGCCTGTCCGTCTCATATCGTCATTCTTTGCCGAGGGAATATCTGGGAGCTGGATGTCATGAAAAATGGAGCTCTAAAATCTGTTGACGAATTGTACAGTAAGCCACAAATTATTTTAAATGGGCTCCCATATCAGGAGCTTTTGAATTCGTCAGAAATAATTCCACAAAAGTACGTCATTCCGTTGCGACACTAACCGCAGAGCATCGTGATACTTGGGCCGATGTAGGATTTTAAGTTCGTTTTGCTAAGTTCAAAATTTCCAGATGCGCAGCCACCTTCAAAAACTATCCTCCAAAAATGCAGAAAATTTGCTGAAAATCGAGTCGTCAATTTTTGCGGTGGTACTGACGGACGATGAGATTCTTGAGGAGAATGAGGTGAGAGAGAGAGTGAGAGAGTGAGAGAGATAATTAAATTTTCGCTTTTTAGCTGCTGGTATATTCGATGATGGGACAGCCAGACGGGCAATGGGCCGACAAAAATATGAATATTACGATAATGAAAGATGGACAGATTACTACGCAAGCGGACGTAGGCCAAAAACCACAAAATAATAAAATCAAAGAATCTAGCACTCCAACGTAGATGCAATTGTCGTCCTTGACGCAGGAAATATATCCGGTCGTAAAATTCGGCATCATGTCTGGACACCAAATGTAATTAATTTTGTGTTATTTGAACTTTTTAATTAGGTTATGGTGCTTAAGCGTCATGGATTATACCGATTTAACATTTCAGGATAATGTCGATTTTGAAAAACCCACCCTCATCGATTTCGCCTTGGACAAAACTGTCGAAAAAGCCATAGAAGAAGCCGAAAATAATTTCTACAAGCATGTATGTCGGTTTTGCCTAATGTTAGAAGATGAATAATCAACACAAATAAAGCTAAATACCGATTTTAGAAGGCACAAATCGGGGTCCGCGTGCTACGGTATAATGGCTACGGCAATGACCAGCTAAAGAAGATGAAAATTTACATGGATACCGTCATACAGCTAGCGATGCAGATCGCCTTTAGGAAGGTTCATGGAAAGTAGGTTATCCACTAAATATCCCCCATCTAGCTGGCCTATTTTCAGCTACGCCCCAATTTACGAAACCGCCAGCACGCGAAAATTCTACCTTGGCAGAACGGAAACGATAAGAAGTCGTACGCCCGAGGCTGTGGCTTTTACTAATGCGCTATTGGAGAGTAAACCGGTATGGATTTATGTAAACCCGAAAAGAGCAGTTATGTGGTACTAGAGATGTTACGAATCAAGTAATATAATGACCAAGTAAATTTGATTGAACAACTTTATTTGCATCTGAAATCTTCAAGTAAATATAAAATTATTTTACGCCGTTTCCTTGAATAAGCATGAAGTAAAATAAAATTACTTGATTTACTTGATCTTGATTGATTTGGGAGAATTACTAGATTTTCAGCGAAATTACTTGATTTTGTGCAAATTTGCAATGCAAATCAGGCAATCGTGCCGTGAACCCAGTAAATTAGCATGCGATCATGTCATAAAGTTCATTACCATCCGAAAAATGCCAGAATTCCAGAAAGCTATTGTTTGATCAAGTAAATCAAGTAAATCAAGTAATCTTACTTGGTTCTCTCACAATCGGAGTCAAATAATATTATTTTACTTGGTCATGCGCTCAGCCCCATCCAAATCAAATAATATTGTGCCATTGTATGCAAATAATCTTGATTGTTAATTGATTCTTAACATCTCTACCAGGGTTGAAAAACCGCTTCGCGGCTTTTCAACCCTGGCCCCGTCCAGGACCTGTGAAAGTCCTTAATTTGCATGTTTCTTCCTGAATTCTAGCAAGAAAAAAGTGATAAACGGCTCCTCCGTCCCTTTATATAGGCTCTTCCTACTTCCGGCGTATGCTAATTTCCCCTAACAAACAGGGTTTTAAAAAAACCTATTTTTAATAGCGAAAACCGCAATTTTTCAAAATTTTTATGTGTGCGCAGTCGATTCCGGACCATTCTAAACCTATTGTCGTTTCTTTCCTATCCAAAAAACCCTTCCCCGAGGCTGTAGGAGCGGAACATCCTAACGGAAGTGCATGCAAATATACACACACACACAAACACTATTTTTTTATATACCAGGGTTGAAAAACCGCTTCGCGGCTTTTCAACCCTGGCCCCGTCCAGGACCTGTGAAAGTCCTTAATTTGCATGTTTCTTCCTGAATTCTAGCAAGAAAAAAAAGTGAAAAACGGCTCCTCTGTCCCTTTATATAGGCTCTTCCTACTTCCGGCGTATGCTAATTTCCCCTAACAAACAGGTTTTTACAAAAACCTATTTTTAATAGCGAAAACCGCCACTTTTCAAAATTTTTATGTGTGTGCAGTCGATTCCGGACCATTCTAAACCTATTGTCGTTTCTTCCCTATCCAAAAAACCCTTCCCCGAGGCTGTAGGAGCGGAACATCCTAACGGAAGTGCATGCAAATATACACACACACACACACAGACACTGTTTTTTTATATATTTTTTTATATATAGTAGGAAGTAGGATGTGGTACTTCTTCTAAAAAATCCTCGGAAATAGACCTCGTAAAGTTATCAAAAAACCCAAGCCAGGGTCAACCCCAAAAACGCAAAAAGTTTGCCGCCAGCAGGGGTCGAACCTGCGACCTTGGGCTTATTAGACCCACGCTCTAACCAACTGAGCTATGGCGGCGGCGAAGGGAGAGAGCGAGGGGGGCCTATCCCAACGTGTGGCCTTCAGGTCAACGAGTTGCGACGCCTTTTCAAAGCCGCCTACGACGCCCATAACAAATTGATGGCCGAGGCGATGGAGGGAAATGGTAAAACTGGCAGCTTTTAGGAAATACAAAATTTAGGATGTGACCGCCACCTTTATGGACTTCGAAAAACGCTTGAAAGCATGAACAAGGGTTCTTGCAGCCCGAAAAGAGCCGAACCAAGGATATTCCAAGATAAAGCCTGGAAACACTCGGGCGGTGATGGAAATTTTAAACTATCGACGAGGTAGACCGACTTGTTTCATGCCAGAATTTAACCTTTTCGTAGCTTTATCGGCTACGATAAGTTTGGAAGTTATGGTTATGTAAGCGCAATGTGTACAGATGGCTACGGTAGCTTCTACCGGATACATGATGATGGGTAAGCAATCATGACTAGCAAAAACTTGCTGCAAATTTTAGAATGCTACTGACAGCCTCGAATTTCACCTCCGGAACCTCGAATTTGGACGAATATACGAAAAATATCGCCTGGGCCATGGATCGGATCGGCGAAGTTTTGGGCGTCCACCAGGCCAAGCTTTAATATGCAATAACGCATAGGAATAATAAAAACAGTTTAGAAACATTTTCGCTATTCCTGTAACACACTAAAAATTGGATCCCAGGGAAAAAGTTGGCCCCCACAATGTTGCGAAAGCACCCAAAAATTCAAAGATAGCTAATTCACACCCTTCGCGATGCAACTAATTTCCAAAAACCCCATTCCTGTTGGGCATTTATTTGGCCATCAACAAATGGCCCGGGTCATTTCACGAGCCGGCACCTCGGGGCTATTTTGTTGCACTATGTTTTTGGGGGGGCGGCCCTGATATGTCGGCTTTTATCACGCGGGGTGAAACAGCCCAAGGGATTGCCTCGAAAAATCTAAACAACGACCTACACTGCCCATTTCCCACGTGATCTACAAACTACTAATGACGCGGATATTGCTCTTATTTGCGGCTATTTTGAGCCTAGGTATAGGGCTAAACCTTAAAAATATTAATAAAGCGTAATTTTTAGGTATTTCAAAAGTTATCGAGTCCTCCGGTGAGCCCGACCCTTGCGAATGCTTCAAATCCAAGCTAAACTTTACCGACATCACGGATGAATACACTTTTCGAGTCCCGGCCGGAAGTTGTGAACTTTACTGTCAGCTTACGGTAGATACGGCGTTGAAGGTATCGAAATTCTATCGTATCCTATCGTTTTCTCTATGATTTAGCCAAACGCAACGCATAAGCCCGGCTTCAAACTGTTCTACAAGCTTGACGGGATGAGGAGAGCTGTTGTGCCATGTACTATGCTAAAAGTTCGACCTGTCGGAGGGCCAATGTCCAAGTGGGGAGCTTATTATTAAAGAGACTGAAAAGTCAGAGGGTGACAGATTTGCCTTCATAATCCCTTTAAAAGGTTAAAATGGCAATTTTTGAGCTTTCAGACTGATCGTTATTGATCCGCGTCTATTTTTCGACATCCCGTATCGAGCCTTCTCGCTGACGCACCGCTGGCAAGATGAGGGTGGCTTTGAATGGGAAAAGAATGAGGTTTTTAAAACAATTTTAACCCTAATTTTGGATTTAATAAAATCTATTGTTTTAATTCCCATAACCTAAAACGTAACTTTATTACTTAAATATTAAATACGATATCAAAAACTGGTTTAGTACGACACGGACGACTACAAAATGTGGATCACCGTCCGCCCCTACTACTTCTTGAAGACTTAACAGTATACATACCTTTAAAACTAGCTTTATCTCGTTACTAATAAATTTTCGCTGCACTTAAAGTATACTTTGAGCACCAAATTTAATAAAATAAATTATAGCGTCAGAAAATCAAATGTTCACAAAATCCATGTGAACTTGGTGTTGGACCCGTTGTGAAAGCTGAAAATACAACCACTTTTCTACTTCCTAGTACTACAACTTTTGCGAATTGAGTGTCAAATGGGCCTGGGAATCGCGACACCTTGCGAACTAAAATCTGTTTTTCACGCTTGAAACGATTTTCCCGAGCTCTCCTAGATGTTCAGGCGGTATCGAGAGATTCTAGAAGTTGTTATTGTTACGATAATTCTTTTTAGTGGGTTTTACGACCAGTTTAACAGAGTAATCCCTAGGTATCACGGTCTTAATCGAACAATTTGATCGTGCTACCTATTTTCTGTACCTAAATAATGTTGATGTCGACAAAGAGGTCAGCCACATTTATGTTCTTTACGTCTATAACTTGGGATCGGCACTGGTAATCACCAAACCTAGGAATCGAGATGTTTTTCCTTTTTAGATTAGCCTTCTAGGTGTATTCACTAACCCTATTGCGCTTTATCTAACCGCTAGAAACTCACATATCGCATGGCCGGTAAGGTAAGGATCACCTTACCAAAATTCGTAGCTAAAAACTATTTTAGATTGCTTCTCGTAGCAGAAGCGGCAGCTCGTTTTCTGGTCAGCTTGAGCCAGGCTGCCCTTCATTGCCCACTGTTCGTGGAATTTCTATATTTTTAAGCTTCCAATTTTCAGAGTTCTATTGAACTTTGTGCACACTGAAACTGTCAACACGCTAGTTCAAATCCTATATTTCGGCTCGACCCTATATTCAAACTTGTTAACACTTTCTACAGGGATTCGGATATCGCAAGAATTCGTATCATTTGGGTAGTAAAAGAAGATAACTCGATATAAATTTATCTAGGAGATTCGTAGCCCTTTCCTTCGAAGGAAGATACTTCCACTATTCGTTAAAATTACCGTACCTTCAATTAGTTATACCCTATCTTGTTTCGGCCTTACTACGACTCGGCCGAGAATTCAATGTTGCCCCTGGAGATGGGCTACTTTATTTTATGAATCTACTGGCGGCTAATACTGCTGCCCTAGATTGTTTTGCCTATAAAAAGTTGCAAGCCGTAAGTTTTTTGTTTCAAAAACAACATTCAAATTTTAAGCACAGCAGAGCCTCAGGAAAAAGTAACAAACAAAAATTTATCCTGGCCAAAATGGTAGGTTCTACGCCACCTCTGAAAAATTTTTCAATAGTTTTAGCTAATTTGTTCGTCTACAATCTATATAACGGTGTCACAACTTTCCCAATTTGGCGGCGCGCTAACACGGCTGTTAGTCGGCCCTCAAATCGGGCTACTCGCCAGGTTGGCCGTCGACCAAATAACATTATTCCTTTTCCTGTCCTATGACGCGTAAGAGGGTCGGAAACCCACAAGAATCATTGTTATTTCCAGGATCCTCTCCATAATCTTTCTGCGAAAATCGGGCAAGGATCAGGCGAAAACTTCCGATATAGCCGGGCGTTCAGAAGTGTCCCGCGGCCCACAAATAACAAGAACCACGATTTTTAATAAAGCAGCCCATTGAAGGGGCTTGATTACCGACGCAGACACGAATCTGAATTTCCAGACCAATGAATAATTGACGCCGTGTTCTCCGTTACGATGGAAACCAAGGTTGTTACTGATTCACTTCCTGGAATGACTAACGCCCTGAGTCAATATTTCCCTAACATGAAGTGCTGAAAGGGAAACCTCTACGGGGTCCCGATTTCGCAAGGAAACGCGAGAGGAGACATTAGAAATCTAAAAAAAACCTGGCATTTTATAAAGCTTCAGACACTTCAATCGAATTGAGAGGTTTTCCCTGAAAGCTGAAGCACAGTTGAGCAACTGCCAAGACTTACAAAAATCAGTAAAAGAGATTCCGGAAGCCTGTGCGCGTTTCGACTTGAAAAATTAGCACACAAAATGGTACAAAACTTCACCTCAAAAATTTCAAAGTTAGCACCAATTTAGGAAGTTTTTCGACCGGTCAATTCCGGGATGCAACACTTTACGCGACCGTAGCCCGGGTCCCACAACGATTTTGAAAGTTTTCGAAATTTCTGGTTTCGAATTCAATTTTTCTGCAAAAAAATGTCTAAATTTTCGCGTCTAAAATTTCAAAATTTATCACCATTTTATGACTTTTCGAAAGCCAAGTTCCGTGATGCAACACTTTACGCGACCGAAGCCCGGGTCCCCAAACGATTTCTGACGCAACGGTAATTCCCAGGTCGATGTGGAACGTTCGCGGCGAAATTTCTGCTTTCCCGAACCTTCCATGCCCTCGCAAACCCCGCCCCCTCGTCTCTTGTGCCAGTCTGGACTAGTGGGGCCACTTTTCGAATGTGTGCTTCCCGCTAGCCGCCCCATTTGTCGACCCTGACCTCGCAAACTGCCCATTTTCTTGGCCTAAAACAGCAGCTAACTTTTTGATTTCTTTTTTATTCTTTGTTACTTTCATTTTAGTATTTTCCCCTGCCCTTTCACATTCAGGCTGCGGGAATACTTTTCGAATCCTCGTTATTCCTCTTTTCTAGCCTTTCCAATTTTATCAGTTTCTTTTCGTACCCAACTCTTCCTTTTCCAGATAAACTCAACTACACCAGATAGCAAGAAATGGCTACCAAGCACAACGCCGTCGGAATTGATCTCGGCACCACCTACTCATGCGTCGGTGTCTTCATGCACGGCAAGGTCGAGATCATCGCCAATGATCAAGGTAGATTTTTAAATCTTTCCGATTTTGGTACCGCGGCAGCTATTTTTGTTGGAGTTTTGGCCCGCGACAACGCTTGAGGCTTGAGATAAGCCTTCTGTCTGGGCCCAAAGTGCGTTGGCCCCGGGTGTTTGGGCAAACAAGCCCGCGTTTCACAACCCTTTTCGCCCTTGCCTTCCGGGTTCAGTTCCGGAACGCCTGCAATAGTTACCCGAGATTCGAGTCCCGTCTTTTAGACTGCTGTGTTAAACTGTTTGTTTAGGAAACCGCACCACTCCCTCGTATGTGGCCTTCACCGACAGCGAGCGCCTCATCGGAGATGCCGCCAAGAACCAGGTCGCCATGAACCCGCACAACACAGTCTTCGGTAAGAATCGTATTGCTTTATCTTTACTTTGTTTTAGACGCCAAGCGATTGATTGGCCGCAAGTTCGAAGACTCTGCCGTCCAGTCCGACATGAAGCACTGGCCCTTCAAGGTCGTCTCCGCTGAAGGCGGAAAGCCCAAGATCGAGGTCGACTACAAGGGCGAGACCAAGACCTTCACCCCTGAAGAGATCTCCTCCATGGTTCTCATCAAGATGAAGGGAGACTGCCGAGGCCTTCCTTGGATCAACCGTCAAAGATGCGGTCGTCACTGTCCCAGCCTACTTCAACGACTCTCAGCGTCAAGCCACCAAGGATGCTGGAGCCATCGCTGGCCTCAACGTGCTCCGAATTATCAACGAGCCCACGGCTGCCGCCATCGCCTATGGACTTGACAAGAAGGCCAGCGGCGAGCGCAACGTCCTCATCTTCGATCTTGGCGGCGGCACTTTCGATGTGTCCATCCTCACCATTGAGGACGGAATCTTCGAAGTCAAGTCGACTGCCGGAGACACTCATCTTGGAGGAGAAGACTTCGACAACCGCATGGTCAACCACTTCATCGCCGAGTTCAAGCGCAAGCACAAGAAGGACCTTGCCTCCAATGCCCGCGCTCTCCGCCGTCTGCGCACTGCTTGCGAGCGCGCTAAGAGGACCCTCTCTTCGTCGTCGCAGGTAAATTGATCACCTTTGCTGTTTTTGATTTTTTCATTCGGCTCTATGTTTGTTTTTTCAGGCCTCGATCGAGATCGATTCTCTCTACGAGGGTATCGACTTCTACACCAACATCACTCGTGCCCGTTTCGAGGAGCTGTGCGCCGATCTCTTCCGCTCTACCATGGACCCCGTCGAGAAGTCGTCCCGTGACGCCAAGATGGACAAGTCGTCCGTCCACGACATCGTCCTCGTCGGAGGATCAACCCGTATCCCGAAGGTCCAGAAGCTCCTCTCGGACTTCTTCTCCGGCAAGGAGCTCAGCAAGTCTATCAACCCCGATGAGGCTGTCGCTTACGGAGCTGCCGTCCAGGCCGCCATCCTCTCCGGAGACAAGTCCGAGACCGTGCAGGATCTTCTCCTCCTCGACGTTGCCCCGCTCTCGCTCGGTAAGTTTGGAATTCATAACTTTTTCTGGTTTTTTTGCAGTAACTTACTTTTATTTTTTAGGTATCGAGACCGCTGGCGGTGTGATGACTGCTCTGATCAAGCAAGCAACACCACTATTCCCACCAAGACCTCGCAGACATTCACCACCTACGCCGACAATCAGCCCGGTGTGCTCATCCAGGTCTTCGAGGGCGAGCGCCATGACCAAGGACAACAACCTGCTCGGCAAATTCGAGCTCTCGAACCCGCCGGCGCCCCGTGGTGTGCCCCCAGATTGAGGTACGTTGCTTTTCCGTTGTATGTTGCGCTTTATTGGCACTTTTCAGAAAATTTATACTCTAATCAAACTTTTTCCAGGTCACCTTCAGACATTGACGCCAACGGTATCCT